TGGGTGTGGGTGTGGGTGTGGGTGTGGGTGTGGGTGTGGGTGTGGGTATGGGTGTGAGTGTGGGTGTGATTCTAGATGAAGATAAAATCTTGAGTTAATATCTGTAAAAAGAAGTATACTTTGTAAAGTACACTGATCCTCTAAGGCTGAATATGCAATATGAAATCAATCAAAAACTCAACACGTCAACAGTAATTTGAATTGAATGCATGATGTGTTACAATTTTTGACAATATTTGCTCTTTAATGTATGTTAGAAGAAAGCGATGAAGACAGCTTGTTACAATGACAAATTTATTTTGTCGGAAGGGAAATAAAAATTAAAGTTGGTGAATACGAGAAAATGATCATAACTCAAAAACAACGACAGCGTGAGAATAAACAAAGCCAGCAATCAGCAGTATTTTTTATGTAAATATAACAGTTTCTCAGTCTCGTGAAAAGAGAAAGAAGGATATTATTACATTTGAAGCCATGTGAACAAGCAAAAGAAAAAAACGCTATTAAATACACTGGGGGTGTAGGTGTGATTATTAGAATTATCTCTCATACATCGTCTTATTAATTAAAAACTCTCGAAAAACATGACTCAACTACTCGAACGATATTTTTAAATCACTTTTTAGATTGTAACATGTATTGATTATAAAATTTATAGCACTTATTCATGGATAAAATCCACTTAAGTTCTTAAAAGCATTTATACTTATATATACATAAATTTGACAAAACAAACTTCATTTTTGTGTCGTATTGAATATTTATTACTAAAATCTTATAGCGATCTAGTATATAAGGTATGGATGCGGCTTGGATGAATAGTATCTTCACACCGACACACACGCCAACACTCATTTGGCTGGACGTGATACGAATGACTAATGTTCTTCACATTTGTACTTATATCCACTCTTCTTCAATGAAAATATCCATTCATTTGTTAAAATAATGATCTCTCTTTTATCACTCATGGCTCTTTTTCAACAATCACTATACAATATGACTTCGAAGTATTACTGCAATTCATATATTATTTGGTGAATGAATATGTATTAAGAAATGTGAATGATTAAATAATTTGATAACATATAAATTTTTTATAATTCAGTTCACAAAAGAAAATGTCATTGTGTCTATATCGATTAATACAACTCAGCACTATTAAGATAAGTGACACCATTGTATCCGCTAGCAAGTAATACTTCTCCATTTGCTAATATGGATGCTGTGTTCATATATCGGACGATACTCATGTTTGCGGTCGTTGTCCAAGTGCCTGTTGATGGATTGTACAATTCAACACTATTGAGATAAACACCATTGTATCCGCCAGCAACTAATACTAATCCATTTGCCAATGTGAATGCTGTGTGACGAGCTCGGGCGATACTCATGCTTCCTGTGGTTGTCCAAGTGCCTGCTGATGGATTGTATAATTCAGCACTAGTGAGATAAGCACTGCTCTCTCCGCCAGCAATTAATACTAATCCATTTGATAATGTGGATGCTGTGTGGCATTCTCGTGCGACATTCATGTTTCCTGTTGTTGTCCAAGTGCTTGTTGATAGATTGTACAATTCAGCGCTAGTGAGATAAGCACCGTTGTATCCACCAGCAACTAATACTAACCCGTTCGCTAATATGGATGCTGTGTGAAAATACCGTCCGGCATTCATGCTACCTGTGGTTGTCCAAGTGCCTGTTAATGGATGGTACAATTCAGCATTAGTGGGATAAGCACCGTTGTATCCACCAGCAACTAATACTAACCTGTTCGCTAATATGGATGCTGTGTGAAAATACCGTGCGGCATTCATACTTCCTGTGGTTGTCCAACTGCCTGTTAATGGATTGTACAATTCAGCACTATTGACATAACTACCAGCGCTGTTCTCTCCACCAGCAACCAATACTGATCCATTTGCTAATGTGGATGCTGCGTGCATATATCGTGCAACATTCATGCTTCCTGTGGTTGTCCAGGTGCCTGTTGATGGATCGTACAATTCAGCACTATTGAGATAAGCACCGTTGTTTCCACCAGCAACTAATACGGACCCATTTGCTAATGTGGATGCTCTGTGACCATATCGTCCGATACTCATGTTTCCTGTGGCTGACCATTCTAGATAAGACCGAAAAGTAAGAAAAAAATTGGTTTTTAAAATAACCCCGAATCTCTCATGTGCTTAAATTGTCTATCTATTGATAACATACCGAATCATTTTAAACTTTCAATAAACTTCTCTTTGTTTTCATAATTAAGATAAAATGCATTATGAGATGTTAAATTAAATTAATAAAAAATATGCTATGAACGATGCCATTGATGTTTTTCGAGTTCGGTCGGTTTCGCGAACTGACGAAACTCCAACACTACCGTACAATTTAGATATGATGAATAATGATCAAATTTGAGAGTTTGAGTGAAAGTCATGCTACATAGTTCAACATAATAGAAATAGTATGTACTTTTACCATCTTGGATGGATACTGTGTGTATGTATCAGAATGTACGTAAAAATGGATGTGACTGTGAGTAGGAGAATATAATTCTCGCATCGTTATCATGAGAAAATCAGTACACTAAGGGTGAATTGATAATGATGAAAGACGTTTTTCTTGAGTTTGAAGTTTGCATTTTATACTTCTACAATATTTGTTTGAATTACTCAACGCTATACAAATGCGACCTAAAACATGAGATTAGCTGTTGATAGACATGTCTCATGACGATATGATGTCAACTAGTACTTCAGCGTATAGAATTATTTTTCGATCATCTTGAGAGTGCGTGAATGTGATTGATTTCTAAAATGATCCATGACTCCTAGTACATGAAAATCTTTTGTCAACAATGTTTTCATATGATACTATCGGACACAACGAGGATATTCAATATTTAGGTTAGCCTATATCGAATGAAGCCGTCAAAAACTGATCATATTTCGACTTCTGTTGAGAAATGTTCCCTAATGTTATCTATCTGGATAGGGATCATTCAATAGCTAAAATCAAAACTTTAGATATCTCCATTTCTAGTAATCATTGTTTGAGTAACTACAAATCATTCAACATAGTACTGACTCGGTATTGCTGTTGTTGTTGAGGTTGTGGATGATGTTGTTGTTGTTGAGGTTGTGGATGATGTTGTTGTTGTTGTTGTTATTGTTGAGGTTGTGGTTGTTGCTGTTGTTGTTGTTGTTGTTGTTGTTGAAGTTATGGATGATGTTGTTGTTGTTGTTGTTGTTGTTGTTGTTGTTGTGGATGTTGATGTCGCAGTCGGTTCTATTTTGAAAAAATGATTTTAAGGTGAAACTGAACGAATGGATAAGATTTGTTTCTTCTTTTGTAACAATGTCTTGGCGTTAAATATGAGTTGATTATAATTAAATACGAAATGCTTAAATGATTTCCATTATCCTTTCATGGATGTTCTCATTTTTTCATTTCATGGTTTTTTCGGGGTCCATCTGGGCCCGCTCATGAAAGTTCATCAAAAAACAGTTTTAGCGTTACTAAAACTTTTCATTTGTATATTATAAATATATAGATGCTTCAATTTTATTAGGATATGAACGCATTTCGTGCTAAGCACTGTAAAAGGGCTCCGTAGTACAAATAAGGATTGAGCAGAATCTTCTGAAAATGATATTGACATAAGTTGAAAATGACTGATTTCACGCTCTTTTTACTAAATGTGAGTCATTATTATAAGTAGTGAAGGCAAAAACAAATCGAAACAAATCGTTAGAAAGGAAACATCAGTACGAGAGAATAAATAGCAGTAATATCACCATATAAAATAAGATTATAGCATCATCGTTGTTATGGGGTCCATAAGTACCCGTAGCTGCATTTTTTCTCCGTTAGACCTACTCATGATTTCTCATATGGGTAGTATATACCAATAAAAGACTAGAGATTAGATGTGAGAACCGATCGGAAACAGAAACTCTTAAGAGTGAATTCAGTAAAAGGCTGCGAAGTGGGTCTTCCTGGACCCCACAACATCAACAGGGGGTTATAATTGTAATTCTACGATATTTACTTTAAGTATATTTCTATTATAATAATTTTGACTACTCAATTTCCTTCTCCTATAAGTTTAATGATCAAGAAACTTTTCAAAATTACACAGATTGAATTATACAAGATTTGCATATTAATTCTGTTTTTGAAATTCTTTATTTTTATTTAAGATGCGATTCTGATCAGAAACTAATTCTAAAAGATTGAGGAAAGATCTCGAAACTGAATTGGTCTAATTTGTGATTTTCGTCTCAGATTTCTTCATTATTGTAGTGTGTCTGGTTATACCACTGAAAAAAAACATTCCGAAGAATTATAAAACCTCAAAAAAGGTTTATAACTGAAAAATTCGTTTATCAACGTGCTCTACCCCTTGATAAACTCTCTACTTGAGGGTTGATCTGATTAATAAATGGAAAAAGGGTTTATCAAGAGAGAATCAACCCTTTGGTTTATCAGTTTGAAACGTACAACAAACCCTTCTTGGGTTTTAAAAATAAGTGTTTATCAGGAGGTGGAGCACGCTGATAAACGAATTTTTCAGTTATAAGCCTTTTTTAAAGGTTTATAGTTCTCCGAAATTCTTTTTCAGTGTACTCTTAAGCGATTCTTTCTGAGACAGAAAAATTTCCGCATGGCATATTTCCATTATATTCAGAAGTGATAGATTTCCAGCTTAATTTCATTTTTCCTGTATGACCTAACGACGTGCAATACTAAACTCAAACTACTTGTGATCATCATCTTAATCAAAAAACTGCTGTAACTTCTTATTTATTTCTTAAGGGTCTGCCCAATGCCTTATACTTCGATGGAATTTTGACGAAAGTTTGTTTCATAGGCATCGATATTTCATATAGATTTATGAATATGAATAGCATAATATCCGTAGATGTTTCATGGAATAGTTATATCATGTTTTCTTCATTATTCTTTTAATATTACATGGTACTAATTCTTTAGTTTCAAGAGTCATCAAAATTTCGTATTGCTAAGATATTTTCAAAATAGAACTCGAAAAATAAATCTCAAAACAGGTCGTTTGGTTAAAAAAAATTACTACCGAAAAATTTCTGGCTGAACATTTTTTTCTGTCATTATGAGCCGAACCGATTGGTGTTTTACACACAGATCTGTTCAATATCTCTATCAAGTTGTGTTAGTTTTCGCTAACTTTTTCTCTTTCACAGATATATTTTCCACTAAATCTGTTATATTTATACTAACCTGGTGGAAATCGTGTTCCACTAATAACATTCATACTAGTAGTGTCTGAATCAGTCAACATATTTCCGTTTTGGTTAAATATATGGGCAAATAATTCACAATTTGAAGTTGATCGATGAAAAGTTGCTGCTATGCATTGACTTTGACCTAAACAGGCAAATTGACAATTCCTAATGTTTGATGTAAAAATATTAACGAATGGTAAACAAGTTGTATTCGCACATTGAAACTTGAAATCAACCATTAAAGACATTAGCATTGATTGTGTATCTTCTCCGACTGCTTGTGTGATAATCATAAATAAAAGCCATAAACAAACTCTTCTTGAAGCCATCGCTAATCAGACTGTCAGTTGATGAAATGAATTTAGCTCGTAATAGAAGAGACAGTAATTGTTGAACAACATATTCTATTTTTTTTGTTTCTTTCTCTTTTCTTTTCTCAATTAATCTCATCATTCTAGTAAAAAAAACAGTCTCGAGTTTTTTATTTTGATAGAAATTTATTCATTCACTGAGATAATTTTCTTACGTGTTTACATGTTATTTGAAGACAAATATATTCACAAATGAAACTTTTGAGTTATATAAAAATAAATAACATAAAGAACGATCGATCTAATAAAATTGAATTTGAAAAGATAACATAATCAACATTTACTTGCAAATGAAATTTTCTATAGAAAGTGAAATGATTCCATTGAGATTAATTTATATATTTAAATGTGAATACTTCAAATGTATATCATAGATTACACAATATATCAGCGAACTATCACGTCATTCAGATGGAATAACGTTAATCTTTAATATCCAAACGACGATTGATTAGAGAAGTTGTTCGATTAGGCAAGAGAACCAAAGGCTTATATGATTATTTGTGTCTGTTAAAATTATTAAATTAAGATTTTGTAGTATTCTAACGTAGATTAAAAAATTGTTTACCATAACCCAGGTCAACTAATCCAACGTTGAATCCTATAAGATCCGATCATCCGACAGAAGCCGATAGGACTCCTGGTGACGGATTGGTAATGGATTCTGACGGAAAAAATTTCAGTCACTTGCTGCAAATTTGATGAGCGGCGTTTTTAGCTATATTCTATGATCGCCTTATGGTCACCTATCGGATCCGTCTAGATCCGTTTGTTGGAAATTGTGAGATCCGAAGTGATTCCGTAACCAGGAATTCTATAGGATTTTGTCGGATCGTCGGGTTCCGATGGAATCCATTATAGGATCCTATCGGATTCGAGTACGGGATTGGTGGACCTGGGAACAAGAGGTTGAAAAAGCTTCGTTTAGTAAATGCTTGTATTAGTTTTATTTCTTTTTCTTTCATTTGTATGTTATTGTGATGTATTAACTTCTGTATGTAGAGTAAAACAAATTTAGTTGGAAAATCTTTTCAATTTTTCTTCAAAAAGGAAGCGATAGAAACAGAGAGTTCGTGAAATCATGTACGCTGAGTAGCTGTCTAATTCGACTTCGAGTATAGATGAAGAAACAAATCGAAATCTAATATTCTCACAATTGAAAAGAAAGTTTTTCTAAATCAAAACTTATAGTTCGAATGCACTTATGTTACTTAGGAATAAGCGGAAAACAAAAGTTTACCTAAATTATAATTTATAATTGAAATACGGAAGCACCTATATTAGTTTAGAGAAAAAAGGACAATAAATAGTTTATCTAAATAATAATTTGCAATTCAAATGCGGAGGCACGTATGTTTGTTTAGAAAGAAAAGCAAAAGAAAACGTTTACTTACATTATAATTTATAACTAGTAACCGAAAGCATCTATGTTAGTTTAGGAAAAACAGAGAAAAGAAAAAGTTTACCTATATTATACTTTAAAATTCACGTACGACAGCACATATGTTAGTTTAGGAATAAAGGGAAAAGAAAAAGTTTATCTAAATTATAATTCATAATTCAAATACGAAGGCATCTATATTAGTTTAGGGAAAAAAGGAAAACAAAAAGTTTACCTACATTATAATCTATAGTTCAAACACGAAGGCACCTATGTTAGGGCGTGGGTGTGATTCTTAGAAGATAGAATCTTGAGATACCAATTATAAAAAATTGTACTTTATTAAGTACATCGGTCCCCAAACGGTTAATATACAATATGATATCAATCAAAAACTTACCACGTGAACAGTAATTTAAACTGGATTAATTATGCGCTAGGATTCTTGATAATACTTGCTTTTTAATCTATGTTGGTGGAAAACGATGAAGACAGTTTATTAAAATGAAACAATTATTTTTTCGTAAGACACAAATAAATGTTTTTTAAATAAATATAACAGTTTCTTCTTCTTCTCATGAATAGAGAAGAAAAGATATTATTTCATTTGAAACCATGTGATCAAGCAAAAGAAAAAACGCTATTAAATACACTGAGGATGTAGGTGTGATTATTAGAATTACCTCTCATTCATCTTCTTATTAATTAAAAACTGTTTAAAAGCGTCGCTCAGGTACTCGAAAGATATCTTTGAATTTTTTTTAAATATTAATATGTATTGATTATAAATTTTCAGTATTTATTGAGAGATAAAATATGCTTAAATTTTCAAAAGCATTTATATGTATATTTATATAAATTTGAGAAAACAAACCTCATTTCTGTGTCGTATTGAATATTTATTACTGAAATCTTATAGTGATCTAGTAAATAGGGTATGGGTGTGGCATGGATCAGAGATGGAACGGGTCCGGTTTTTTGACGATCGCTACCGGTACCGGTTCCATCTCTGCTGGAACTCATATATTATTTGGTGAATGATAATGTATTAAGAAATATGAATGACTAAATAGTTCGATTACATAGTAAAAAAGTGTCATTCTGTCTATATCGATTAATAAAGCTCAGCACTATTGAGATAACCACTAGTGCCGTTTCCACCAGCAACTAATATCTTTCCATTTGTTAATATGGACGCTGTGTGTATAAATCGTGCGATACTCATATTTGCTGTAGTTGTCCATGTGCCTGTTGATGAATTGTACAATTCAGCACTATTGAGATTAGCAGTGTTGTATCCACCAGCAACTAATATGGACCCATTTGCTAATGTAGATGCTGTGTGATAATATCGTGCGATACTCATGTTGGCTGTCGTTATCCATGTGCCTGTTGATGGATCGTACAATTCAGCACTTTTGAGATTAGCAGTGTTGTATCCACCAGCAACTAATACTAATCCATTTGCTAATGTAGATGCTGTGTGAAAACGTCTTGCGACATTCATGCTTCCTGTGATTGTCCAAATACCTGTTGATGGATTATACAATTCAGCACTGTTGAGATAAACACTAGTGTTGCTCATTCCACCAGCAACTAATACTAATCCATTTGCTAATGTGGATGCTGTGTGAGAATATCGTGCGATATTCATGCTTCCCGTGGTTGTCCAGGTGCCTGTTGAGGGATTATAGAATTCAACACTATTTAAACAAGTACTACTGTTCCTTCCACCACTAACTAATGTAGACCCATTTGCTAATGTGGATGCTATGTGCTGAAATCGTGCGACATTCATGCTTCCTGTGGTTGTCCAATTACCTGTTGATGAATTGTACAATTCAGCACTATTGAGAATACTAACAGCGTTGTTTCCACCAGCAACTAATACGGACCCATTTGCTAATGTCGATGCTGTGTAAAAATCTCGTGCGACATTCATGCTTCCTGCGGTTGTCCAATTACCTGTTGATGGATTGTACAGTTCAGTACTATCGAGAAAAGTACCGTTGTATCCACCAGTAACTAATATCGATCCATTCGCTAATGTAGATGCTGTGTGATAATATCGTGCGACACTCATGTTTCCTGTCATTGTCCACTCTAGATAAGGCAGAAAAGTGAGAAAAAAATGTTGTTTTTAAAATAACTTTGAATCTCTCATGTGCATAAGTTGCCTATCTATTGATGAAAGATTACACGATTTCAAACCTTCAATAAACTTCTCTTTGATTTCATGATTAAGATTTGGTTCATTACGAAATATTAAATCAAATTAATGAAAGATACCTTATAAACGATTTCATTAATATTTTTCGAGTTTTATCAATGTTGCAAGCTGACGAAACAAGCATTGTCCTACAATTCATGTATGATGAATAATGATCGAGATTTCGAATTTAAGTGAAAGTTGTTCTACGTTATTCAACATAGTGGAAGCAAGGTGTACTTTCACCATGTTAGATAGGTGGGTGTACGCATGTGTCAGAATGTACATAAGGATGGATGCCAATGAAGATGTGACTGAGAGTAACAGAATATACTTGATCAATCGTTCTCATAAGAAAATCAGTACACGAGGGTTTAATTAATGATGATGAGAGGCGTTTTCTCGAGTTCAAACTTTGCATTTTATATTGCTGCGATATTTCTTTGAATCCCTCAACTCTTTACAAATCCAATCTAAAACATCAGATTAGACGTTGATAGACAGATCTCATGTCGATATTATGTCAACTAGTACTTCAACGTATATAATTGTTCTGATCATCTTGAGAGTCGATGAGTTCTATCGTATGAAAGTCTTCTTATCAACAATGTATTCCCATGATACGATTGGACAGAACGAGCATATTCAATATGTGGGTTAGTCTAGATTGAATCAAGTCATTAAAAACTGATCATATTTCGATTTCTGATAGGAAATATTTCCTGATGTTGTTTATCTAGATGGTAAATATTCAATAGCTAAAACTAAAACTTTTAGATATCGTCAGTTGTACTTATCATCTTTTGAGCAACTATAACTTATTTCACTTAGTACTCACCTGGTACTACTGTTGTTGGTGTTGTGGATGTTGTTGTTGTAGTTGATTCTATTTTGAAATAATGATTTTAGAATGAGAATAAACGACTGGATAGGATTTTTTCTTATTATGTAACAGTGTATAAACGTTATATATCAGTTGATTATAATAAAACAGGGAATGTTTAAACAGTTTCTATTTTAATTGTAATTCTACGATGTTTACTTTAATTATATCTCTATCATAATACTTTTGACAACACAATTTATATTTCTTATAAATTTAATAATAAAGAAACTTTTTGGATTATATAGATTGAGGCATATAATATTTACATATTAATTCTTTTCTTGAAATCTTCTATTTTCATTTAAGATGAGATTCTGATCAGAGGCTAATTCTAATTGAAAGAGGAAAGATCGCAGTTTATGAGTATCGATTACAAAATCAAATGAACTCAGATTGGTCTAATTTATCATTTTTTCCTTAGTATTCTTCATTATTGTAGTATGCTTATTATACTATTAAGAGATTCTTTGTGAGACAGAGGAGAATTTCCGCATGATATATTCCGGTTATATACAGAAGTGGCAGATTTCCAGTTTAAGTTGAATTTTTCTGCATAGCTTAACGAAGAGCAATCCTAACCTCATACTAATGATCCTCATCTGTTTAAAAAAAACTGTAATTGCTTAAAAATCTGTTCAGTGCGTTATATTTCTATGGAATTCCGCTGAAAACTTGTCTCGTGAATAACGATATTTTTTTACAGATTTATGAATATGAAAATGATAATATCCATAGGCATTTTTTATGGAATTACTATCTCATTTTTTCTTCATTATTCTTTTGATAATCGACGGTATTGATTGTTTAGTTTCAAGTTTCATAGAGATTTCATTTCACTAAGATATTTTCAACGTAGAATGTGAAAGATAAGATTATTTGATTCAAAAAGAATTACTTTCGAGAAGGATTTCACTGTGTGTTTTTTTCTGTCATTTTGAGGCGAATCGATCTGTAATTTACACACTGATGTTTTCAATAACTTAAAAGTATTTTCCAAGAAGAAAAAACGTTTTTCTCTCTCTTAGCGATATATTTTCTTTTAAATCTGTTCTATTTATACTGACCTGCCGGAAATCGTGTTCCAATAATAACATTCATACTAGTAGTGTCTGCATCATTCAACATATTTCCGTTTTGGTTAAATATATGAGCAAATAATTCACAATTTGAAGTTGATTGATGAAAAGTAGCTGCTCTACATTGACTTTGAATTAAACAGGCTACTTGACAATTTCTACTGTTTGATGTAATAACATTAAAGAATGGTAAACAAGTTGTATTCGCACATTGAAACTTAGAATCAACCATTAAAGACATTGTCATTGATTGTGTATCTTCTCCGACTGCTTGTGTGATAATCATAAATAAAAACCATAAATAAACTCTTGTTGATGCCATCAACCACCAGATACTATGTAGATCAAATCAATTCAATTCATAAAACAAGACAGAGTCTTTATAGAACAATAAGTTTTTTTTCTCTCTCTCCAGTGGTTACTGCGTAGTTTTTTCCTAGAATTTACTTTATTAATCTAACGGAGAAACAGTCCTAATATCTTTTTCCCAGAATTCGTTTTATTAATATAACGGAAAAACAGTACGGACGCCTTTTCCCAGAATTCGTTTTATTAATATAACGGAAAAATAGTACGGACGCCTTTTCCCAGAATTCGTTGCATCAATTTAATCAGAAGAAGTAAGTCAGGACTTTTTTATTTTCAAAAAAAAATTATCTGTTCGGAGTTGGGCGTGGGTGTGATTCTAGATGAAGATAGAATCTGGAGTTAATATCTGTAAAAAAAGTGTACTTTTCACAGTACACTGATCCTCAAAGGCTGAATATGCAATATGAAATCAATCAAAAACTCAACACGTCAACAGTAATTTAAATTGAATGCATGATGTGTTACAATTTTTGACAATATTTGCTCTTTAATGTATGTTGGAAGAAAGCAATGAAGACAGTTTGTTAAAATGACGAAGTTATTTTTCGAAGAGAAGTAAAAAGTCAAGTTGGTAAGTACGAGAAAATCATTATAAGTCAAAAAGAACGACAACGTAAAAATAAACAAAGCCGGCAATCAGTAGTGTTTTTTATGTAAATATAATAGTTTCTTCTTCTTCTTGTGAAAAGGGAAAGAAGCCTATTATTTTATTTGAAACCATGTGAACAAGCAACAAAAAAGATGCTATTAAACACACTGAGGGTGTACGTATGATTATTAGAATTATCTACCATACACCCTCTTATTAAATAAAAACTGCCTAAAGACATGGCTTAAGTACTCAAACGATATCTTTAAATCACTTTTTAGATGTTAACATGTATTGATTATAAATTTCCGATATTTATTGAGAGATAAAATTTGTTTTAAGTTTTCAAAAGCATTTATACGTATATTTCTATAACTTTGATAAAACAAACCTCATTTCTATATCGTATTGAATATTTATTATTGAAATTTTATACTTCGTTAGTAAATAGGGTGTGAGTGTGGGTGTGGCTTGAATGAATAGAATCTTCACACTGACACCCTAAAAATAATGATCTCTCTTTTATCAATCAACCCTCTTTTTCAACAATCGTTATACAATATGACTTCGAAGTATTACTTCAATTCATATATTATTTGGTGAATGATAATGTATTAAGAAATGTGAATGATTAAATAGTTCGATTACATAGTAAAAAAATGTCATTGTGTCTATATCGATTAATAAAGCTCAGCACTTTTGAGATAACCACTAGCGCCGTTTCCACCGGCAACTAATATCTTTCCGTTTGTTAATATGGATGCTGTGTGTATATATCGTGCGATACTCATGTTTGCTGTAGTTGTCCATGTGCCCGTTGATGGATTGTACAATTCAGCACTGTTCAGATAAACACTAGTGTTGCTCATTCCACCAGCAACTAATACTGATCCATTTGCTAATGTGGATGCTGTGTGAGAATATCGTGCGATATTCATGCTTCCCGTGATTGCCCAAGTGCCTGTTGATGGATTGTACAATTCAGCGATATTGATGGGAGCATTATTGGTATCTTGTCCACCAGCAACTAATACTAATCCATTTGCTAATATGGATGCTGTATGTAATTTTCGTGCGATATTCATGCTTCCTGTGATTGTCCAAATACCTCTTGATGGATTGTACAATTCAGCACTAATGAGAACAATACTACCGCTGTTGTATCCACCAGTAACTAATACTAACCCATTGGCTAATATGGATGCGGTGTGATATCTCCGTGCAACACTCATGCTTCCTGTAGCTGCCCAAGTGCCTGTTGGTGGATTGTACAATTCAGCACTATCCAGGAGACCACTATTGCTATCTTGTCCACCAGCAACTAATACTGATCCATTTGCTAACGTGGATGCTGTGTGATAATCTCGTACGTCATTCATACTTCCTGTGGTTGTCCAAAGACCTGTTGATGGATTGTACAATTCAGAACTATTAAGATAACCACCGTTGAATCCACCAGCAACTAATACTGATCCATTTACTAACGTGGATGCTGTGTGATATTTTCGTGTAACATTCATGCTCCCTGTGGTCATCCAGGTGCCTGTTAATGGATTGTACAATTCAGCACTATTAACAGTACCACTGCTGTTGACTCCACCAGCAACTAATACTAATCCATTTGCTAATATGGATGCTGTGTGAAATCCTCGTACGACACTCATGTTTCCTGTCAGTGTCCATTCTAGATAAGATAGAAAAGTGAGAAAAAATGTCGTTCTTAAAAGAACTTCGAATCTGTCATGTGCATAAGTTGTTCATCTTATGATGACGGATTAAATGATATCAAACCTTCAATAGACTTTTCTTTGTTTTCATGAGTAAGATAAAATTCATTATAAAATGTTAAACTAAATTAATGAGAAATATGTTATAAACAATTTCATTGATATTTTTCAAGTCCTATTAATATTACAAACTGACGAATCTCAAACATTGTCCTACAATTCAGGTATGATGAATAATGATCGAATTTTAAAATTTGAGTGAAAGTCATTCTACAGTGTTCAACATGGTCGAAACAATATGTACTTTCACCATGTTGGATTGGTGGTGTATACATGTATCAGGATGTAGGTAAGTATGAAAGTCAATGAGGATATGACTGATAGTAAGAAAATTTAATTATTGCATCGTTTTCATAAGAAAATCAGTATACTAACATCGTAAGTCTGTTTTATTAATACTGACCTGATGGAAATCGTGTTTGACTAATAACACTCATACTAATAGTGTCCGCATCAATCAACACATTTCCATTTTGGTTCACCATATTATCAAATAATTCACAATCAGAAGTTGATTGATGAAAAGTAGCTGCTGTGCATTGACTTTGACCTAAACAGGCAAATTGACAATTCCTAATGTCTGTTGAAATAACATTAACGAATGGTAAACAAGTTGTATTCGCACATTGAAACTTGGAATCAATCATTAAAGATATTTCCATTGATCGTATATCTTCCCCAAGTGATTGTGTAATAATCATAAATAAGAGGCATAAACAAATTCTTGTTGAAGCCATCGCCAGTCAGACTGTCAGTTGATGAAATGAATTTAGCTCGTAATAGCAGAGAAAGTAGTTATCGAGCAAGAAATTTCTATTTTTTTTGTTTCTTTCTCTCTTCTTTTCTCAATTCATCACATCATTTCAGTAAACAAACAATCTTCACTTTTTTATTTTGAAAGAAATTAATTTATTCGGAAAGATGATTTTTCTCTGTTTACATGTTATTTGAAGACAAATATATTCACAAATGAAACTTTTGAGTTATATAAAAATAAATAACATAAAGAACGATCGATCTAATAAAATTGAATTTGAAAAGATAACATAATCAACATTTACTTGCAAATGAAATTTTGTATAGAAAGTGAAATGATTCCATTGAGATTAGTTTATATATTTAAATGTGAATACTTCAAATGTATATCATAGATTATACAAAATATCAGTGAACTATCACGTCATCCAGATGGAATAAAGTCAATCTGTAATATCTAAACGAAGAATAATTAGATGAGTTGTTTGATTAGGCAAGAGAACCAAAGGCTTATATGATTATTTGTGTCTGTTAAAATTATTAAATGAAGATTTTGTAGTATTCTAACGTAGATTAAATAATTCTTTATCATAATAACACATTCTGATGTACTTTTTTCTCAATGAGAAATATTCATTTAGAAAATGTTGGGATTTTTTGAGTAGCCGTCTAATTCGACTTTGATTATAAATGGAAAAATAATCCGAAACTCAGTATCCTCGCAATTGAAAAAGTGGAATCTCTGAACCAAAATTCATAGTTCGAATTCGAAGGCACACTTATGCTAGTTTGGGAAAAAAGGAAAACAAAAAGTTGACTTAATTATAAATTTTAATTGAAAAATGAAGACACCTATGTTGGTTTAGGAAAAACAAAGAAAAGAAAAAGTTTACCTAAATTATAATTTACAAGTAGCGCTCGTCGGAGGACTCGCTTAGCTCTTTCTTGTAGAAATACATTCTCTTCACATTTACGGGAAAAACAATTGAAAACTTTGCTCTCCTTTGTTGTTCCTTATTCTTAGCATATATTCGAATGCTACTCAATGGTAAACGCAGATCAAAACATATTTGAACTGTTGGCACCAGTGGCTTGTCGAACTAGCCTTTAACGAATAAGTGAAGTGTTAGTAGCCTTATACTCAAGGCAGCCAACAGTTGATAATCGCCACACTATACATTATCAGTAGGGAAACATTTGGATACCCATAAAAATGTATTACCAAAAACCTCGGTTTCTATCAGTCCACATCACTTCCCCTAGGTCACTACTCCCCTTCCCTTTAGAAGTCTGAGCAAATGAGGCACACATTTGAAGTCTTCTTATCGAAATACCTCAGAAAATATCTTTTCTGGAAAATCGGTCTTCGATATTTTTTGACCCTGCGGACAATCAAGCAAGCAAGCAAACAAATAAACAATTTTTTTTGTGCTAGACTCTTCTCGACGAGAAAGAGAATATTGACTTAATTATAATTTATAATTGAAAACCGACGACACCTATATTAGTTTAGGAAAAACAAAGAAAAGAAAAAGTTTACCTAAATTAAAATTTATAATTGAAATACGAAGGCACCTATGTTAAGGTATAGATGTGGTATATGTGTGTATGCATGTGATTCTAAGAGAAGATAAAATCCTGAGATACTATCTGTAAAAAAAAGTGTACTTTATAAAATGCACTGCTCCTCTAAGGCTTAATATGCAGTATGAAATCAATCAAAAACTCAACACGTCAACAGTAATTTGAATTGAATGCATGATGTGTTACAATTTTTGACAATATTTGCTTTTTAATGTATATTGGAAGGAAGCAATGAAGACAGTTTGTTAAAATGACAAAGTTATTTTTTCGAAAGAGAAATAAAAAGTAACGTTAGTAAATCTGAGAAAATGATCATAACTCAAAAACAACGACAACATGAAAATAAACAAAGCCAGTAATTGGTCATATTTTTTATGTGAATACAATAGTTTTTTTCTCTTCTGATGAAATGGAAAAGAAGACTATTGTTTCATTTGAAGTCATGTGAACAACCAAAAGAAAAGACACTATTAAATACACTGAGTGTGGATATGAGTATTAGACACCTTTTGCGGACACTCAATGATATTTGAGTCGTGAATTCAAGTACAATACACTGAACCGGCCTTGCCTAGTTACTGTCATCCGGTATTATATCGATTAACATATTGTTGAGTATTCTTGATATACGGTGGACAACTTATGGTAATTGACACAATAAGACGTAAGTGGCTCCGTTGAATCCCGTCAACAGAATCATAAAAAAACTAACTGCACAAAACTTTCACATCATCAATACGGATATAAGTTTGGCCGATATAACAGCAGCTTTAGATTTTATTTATTTAAAGCTTATTTAAATTAATATTAATGAATAATTTAATAATTGTTAATAAGTAATTTCTTTAATAAATTTTATTTTAATTAATATTTAACACGGAATCATCTTAAGGGTGTATGTGTGGGCGTATAGATGAAAGGAGCACAGATACCCACATACACACCCTAGTTTATATTTGTTTATCTGTCAGTAACAAGAGTAACAAAAGAAAACTAACATCATCGTCAACGAAAAAGATATTGTTATACTCTTATCTTTATTTAATAAATATTATATGCGCAAATGATGATGCACAACCATGCTCTACTTTTAACTTTTATCATGCCAAATGACGTTACTTTTTTATATTTTATATTTAAAGAGTGTAAATAAATGAGCGAGCGAGAATGACGATAAAGAGAAAACTTCCCAACGCTCATCCAAATGTATTTCAACCATTCTTAGTTCTGTAGTGGGCGAGAAATCTATCATGCTTACATCTATAAACACTATTTCTTGAAACGTGAAAAGTTTCGAACATGAAAAAACCTCGGCAACCCCACAACTTTGCTTAAGACCTGCAAAGACGCTTGCGCATTTTCAGCGGGTGTAGATCAAGAAGCCAACAACGCCTAACTCACATCCACACCCTGATATATTTCGTATATTCTTCATGCAAGAAACAAATTGTTTTCATCTGATTCATGTAATATTATCTTTTTAAAACAGTATTTATTCAGTATTATTTATTTCTATTTTTTTTTTGTTGTTGATGTTTTTATGTTTCGTTTCTCTGCTCTTTGCATAAGTATCGTCAGCATTTTCGAGTGGTGTGGATAAAAGTATATTCAAACGAAATAAAATAACCTGATTACATAAAAGTGTATGCGTGTGAAAGTATATTTAACATATCTACCTTTCTATTAGCAGAGAAATTTGATCTGCTTTTACCTCGTATAAAGGATCTTCATAAAACGAATATTGCATTATATTTCCACAACGTTGCAATGAATTGTTTATTAAGTGCTGGTCTAATATTGTTGATAATCTTTCAAGAAGGGATTGATGCTCTGGAACTATTTGATCCGTATAAAGACAATAAAATTTGTTCGACATCAATGCCAATATGTTCTTTTGAGTTACGTGCTACTACATCCATGACTATGTTCTACAAAAATCTCTTTCGTGTCGTCTCTACTGACAATGGTACATTGCATCACTATGATAATCCTAATCAAACATTTTCGATGACAGATATTATTACAGGCGATGGTTATCCAAAACTTGTAGGTATTTTTTTTCGTAAAGAAAGTTCTATGATTGTTTCTTTTGAATAGGTTTATGTTTTTAATAATTCCTTACCAGGTCCTGTTCTAAATGTTTATCAAAATCAAATAGTGCGTATACGAATTTTTAACGATTTTGCATCAGAATCATTGAGTGTTCATTTTCACGGTATACGACAATTGAATACACCGGAAAGTGACGGTATTGGACGATTAACACAATTATCAATTTTACCTGGTTCTAGTTTTCTACATGAATTTCGAGCAATTGACCTTGGCACTTTCTGGTATCATTCTCATGTACATTCGCAAACGGCGATGGGTCTCATGGGTGGTTTCATTGTTCATCCAAGAACAATGCCTGATAAACAAGTATTAGGTGAATTTGTTCTTCTTTTAAATGATTGGCAACATTTTTATACAAGCGAGCAACATCATTTGCTGATTGAAGCGGTCAATTCTATCCGAATGATCTCGAATCATTAACACAATCAGGTACAATCGATTTTTTTCAAGCAGTTGACGGATCAAGAGCTGCCGAAGCTCTTGTTACCTCAATTTTAGTCAATGGTCGGGGTCAATATATTGATCCACGTAATGAAACGAAAGGTTTAAGCACGACACCACTGGAATATTTGAAAACTGATTCCGTCGAAAATAATTCTATTTATCGTCTTCGTTTAATCAATGGTGGAAGTGTTTTCTCCCTAAAATTTTTCATAGATAAACATCTATTGCAAGTAATTGCTTCCGATGGTTTACCATTTGCACAACCAATGATCGTTGAGCAACTGATCATTGGTCTTGGTGAACGATATGATGTCATAATTGGCAATCTATCCAAAATAGATACTAATATTAATTATTGGGTTCGTGTTGATACGATGGATAAGAATAATAATGTAAGATGGCATGGTCGAGCTATCTTACAGTATGCAAAAACGAATGAAATGCCAACGAGTGAACGACAAAACTGTAGTGTATCTCAACCATGTCGAATTTTGAACTGCCCTTTTAGTCAATACGGCCCCAACGAAAATAGCAAAGGATCCTCTTTTATCTGTTTGACTCCACTAAATTTCAGCACACATGACGATTATCTCGATCATGATTTACTCCATCAAACAATTCCAATTAATATTAAGCAAACATTATCATTAACCATGGTTGAACATCAGAACGATCGAGCTGGTTTTGAATCTTTCAATTATATCGGAATGAAATATCCATCGATGACAGAACCAATTCTTTTCAAGCCTCGGCAAGCTAGAGAACTGCTTTCTTGTTCAAATCAATCGTTAGACGGGGACTCCGGTGAAAAATGTTATCATAATATTGTCGCTCAGTACAATGATATCATCGAAATACTTCTTGTCAATCATGATGACGATCAGCATCCCATTCATTTGCATGGCTCTTATTTTCATATTGTCGAACAAGGTCTTGCTCAGTTGAATCAAACGACAGGAGAATTCATTGCTAATAATGCAAATGTCATATGCAATGAACATGCTATATGTATATACAATCAAACCAGTGCAAACTCTACAACAAATAACATGCGTCTTGTTAAAGATACGGTGCAATTACCTAAAGGAGGGTGAGATTTTATGAAAATTAAATAATAAACATAAGAATATATATTAGATACATGAGAATACGCTTTCGCGCGCAAAATCCTGGTGTTTGGCTTCTTCATTGTCATACAGAACCGCATCTCGACCGTGGCATGGCTATTGTATTTCATGTCAGTTAATAAACTTATTATTAAAATTTCTCTAATTTACTCTTCCAATTTTTAGATTGCCGAAGATCGAATTCCAATGGCATTATCATCTTCGTCATTTGTTCGATGTAATCATATTTCAATTCTATTCGATAATTTGATTCTTTTCTTATTTGTATAATTACCTTATTATCATATGAATACTATCATCTTTTATCGAATAAAACATTACACTATCCACGATGAAAACTAGTGATGCCTAGTATATGTAGGGTGTAACGCGTGTGAATGTGGAATCATGTTCATCATTGATCAACTAAACATCCACACGCACACCCTTTAGTTTAAATATTGTTGAACACATAATATAACAACAAACTAAAGAAATATTCAATTAAGCAATTAGTTTACGTTTGTCAATTTGTGTATTGAATCAAAAATTAAATGGGTGGGTGTGATAGAAGGAGAGTCACCCACACCCAGACTCAATCTCTAAAATATTATCATATACAAATAGCTTTTATTCTCTTCTAACAAAAGCGAGTTGAGAGAAGGGTGTGGGTGAGTATTCTATTTTTCTTTTTCATCCACACCCTCGACAGTTCCGTGAGATGAAAATATACAAAATATTTAGGCTTTTACGCTGCTGTTGGTACAGGTTCTGAATCTAAACATTCGAGGTTTAATCCTCTTACAACTTCTGTAAAAGACTTAATAAAAATAGATATTGCAAAGAAATCAAATATTTAAGAATACAGGTATCGATGACCATGAGAGTGGAGATATAGACATCAATGAATATGAGTCGTCAACTCATTCAAACTACCATTCATATTTTCAAATTTCTTATCAAAAATTCCAGCAATCTTTTGCAATTTTATAACGACTAAAGAAGTTTGAACGTATTGAATATCATTTATTAAAATTTTTTTACTTACTTTCTAAAAGTGTGTTGAGGGTGCCTAAAGCTTGGCCTTTTCATATATAAGTTACTACTAACAAGTTAATTAATTTAATCACATACCTGTAAGTTTTCTGAAACTTGATATATATAACTGTATTATGTATAGAAAATTGACCAAGATTAAATGATTGTTTCAATTCATCTTTATTCGACAACTCAATATAGAAGTTACTTCTAAGAAAAAAATGGAAAATATAAAATTCACACACTTTTTTTCCGTTCCATTATTTCAAAGTTTTGTTTGTAAGTTTATTATGACATAGATATTTATTATTGTAATCATATAAATTCTTTTACCTTCTGCGTAAGAGTGTAAACCATTTTGTTTGATTCTAAACTATGATTTGCTATTTCTTGTATGTAAGTAAATCTAAATAGTTGTCGTTACTCTGCATGAATCATTTTTCCATTCATTCTATATGAGATTTCTATTATCCAATAGGAAAACAAACGACATACAGACATAGTTTGTATTACAACTTGGATAAGCATAATAAAAATATTTCTGTTCGATATAAATCAACGTAAAAATCATGAATAAAAATCAAGAAAAACGTATATTTCGTGATCGAATCGATGCTGGTTGCAAATTAGCTGCCCATCCTGAATTACAAAAAGTTAAAAATTTAACATCAAATGAAAAAAATTCATATTTAGTTATAAGCTTACCGCGTGGTGGTACTGTTGTTGGTGATGAATTAGCTAAAGAATTAGGAATAACACATGATTTAGTCTTTCCAAGAAAGATTTCTTGTCCTGGTCAACGAGAATTTGCTATTGGTGCTGTATCAGAATTAGGTGATGTTATTTGGAATGATTATGCGAAACAAGAAAATTTAATTGATCTACCAAATGTACAAGAAAGTAAAGATAAACAAATTCAAGAAGCAAAACGTCGAAAAGAAATTTATCGTGGTAAACGGAAACCATTGGAAAATTTGAGTGAAAAAACAGTTATATTAGTTGATGATGGATTAGCAACAGGTATGAATAATACCTTTATAAAATTTATTTTTCTAACAAAAAAAATATATTTTGATATAATTTATCGATAAATATATGCTTCAATTTCAGAATCTAGCTGAAAGGTTATTGCGTACAAATTCAATATATCATCTATTGTGTCGCTAGATGTAATATTATAGTATTGAGTAGAAAATATACATTTACAAATCAAAAGTCAGATCTTATTGCAAAAGACTAATACTTATAATTAGTATTGATAATTAAATGTTTTAAGTCCAACAGATCAATGTAAATTTCTTGCTATTTCGCAATCGTAATAAACTATATTAGCCTCTTTATTATTAGTCTCATATGCATGGATTGACTTTTGCAACTTAATAAATGTCAAAGACGTATCTATATAGTAAAACAAACAATAAATAGAGGTTTTTCGAAGCAGCCAGATTCTATATTGTAAATGAATTATCATTCAGTTTCAATTACTTTTAGAGGTAAGGATGAATTAAAGAATTGATAATCAGACTTTTATGTAAAACAAGTACTATTCTAAAAATCTTTTTATCATAAACACTATAAAACAATAGCTTCTTTTTCATTAATAATAAACATATAACTAACATAGTTCGTAACAGTCTATTAAAGCGGATAATTCCTATTTTCTTCTACAGGTGCAACTATGAAATCTGCTATTAATACTTGTAAACATTTGAATGCTAAATCAATAATTGTTGCTGTTCCATGTGGTTCAATTGATCGTGTTAAAGATATTAGTACATTGGTCGATAATATTATATGTTTAACAACACCGTATGGTTATCATGCAGTTGTACAATGTTATAAATCATTTGATCAAACAACTGATAAGGAAGTCATTGAAATCATGGCTAAATATCAAGATTCAACGAGCGAAGATGATTTGCAAAGGTAAAAACAAAAAACTTCAGAGAATCTTGAAAATCAATATTTCATTTTATGACTACCTATCCACCCTCAAATTAATCCATGCTGTAATTACTCCTTTATGGATAATGTTTTTATTTATAATACTGCTCGTAAAATTTTCTGTTTATACAATGTGTTTCTATTTTTTCATCTCAATAAAGTAAAGGCTGTTCTTCTTTCTTTGCGTTATATTATATATATAAATCAAACGATACGCAAGAACGAATACATTACATCTACTTTATCTGTATTAAAATGTGAGAAAAATATCATTCTCTTGGTGAATAAATTTGAAGTATCATTTCGATCGACTTATTCAAAATATTCCATTACAACTCAATTTTGAATATGTTCGAAGGACGATATTTGATCAGATTTCAACAATAACGTTATTAACTTTAGAAATCAAAAGACAAGTTTATTCATTTGACCAATTTCCTTCAATTCGTTCATTGACTTTGACTGATATTGATAAAAATAGTTGGGAGAAACTAAAAGTGATGTTACCATTGTTACCTAAATCATGTTATATACATCTAATTGAGCCAGATATTGAATTTAGAGGAGAACTATCCATGTAACCACTTTTAACAATTTCTCGTTGTACGTGCTTGGATATAAGTCAACTGTTTGGAAATCTTCCATTTTTGAAATATCTCAATGTCCGAAAAAGTTCCGGATGGCCTTGGACAAACTACTATAAAAGTTTTAGTAATGATCGTGCTAATCATCTTAAAAAACTTGTTATGATCGACTTCTCTAGTGGATTCGAGATCCTTGAAATACTTTTAACACAAACACCGAATTTACAAAGTTTAGTTATATCAAATGGATACAATACAGATATAATTGATGCTTTTCGTTGGTAAAATTTTATCACATCCTCACTTCTTCTTTTGGTCGTATCCAAGTTTATATTCAACTTTCATGTTCAAGATCATCAACACAGAGCTATTGTTTCTAACAGATTCAAGGAATTTCAAAACGATTTCTAGCTAAAACAACATCAATGGTATACTGAATTATCATATTATTTGGAACGAACAGCCATTTACACACAATACCTTATATATGAAATACTACAAATTATAGATATGTACTGGATAAATCAGAAATATTTGATAATATAACAGATTTAACTATTTATTTTGAGGATCTTAAAGAATTTTGCCAATATCATTTTAAAAATGTTACAAGACTCAGATTAGAAAACGCAAATTCTGGGACTGATAAAAAAGCGAATCCTTTAATCGAAAAAGAATACATGGAATCATTGAAAATTATTATTAATTTATCTAATCTGGAACATTTAGATCCTATATTGATGTGTGAACAACATATGTCATTTTTATTATTGGAAATATTAAAACAAGCACCAAAGTTATCATCATTAAAGATTATTTGCAAAAAATTGATGTTATTATTAGATAATGATGAAGTATGCAAATATCTGAATAAAATTATTAAAAACTTAGATTTAGATTCAGATCTCATTCTATTCATAAATGATAATATTGGAGAAAAGTTTAGTAAAGTACTTTCAAATATTGAGAAGCTTTCCTGCATCATAGATCAACCACATGATTTGCTAGTTTTACTAACACGATTACCAAAACTATCAATGATAACGGCTGATTTTTATACGCCAGATACTTCAGAAGATCTAGCATCATTTAAAGAAGAACTACGCAAATCAAATACACTATTACATTATGAAATTACTTTAAACTCTGAACAAAGAACAATTTTTTATTCAAAAATTTTGATAATCTGGACAGGTAATAGTATCAAATGATTATATAATTGTTGTTTATTTTCATTTGTAAATATCTTTTTTTTAAATAAAAACAAACTGTCTGATATAGATAGATCGATTAATAGATAAATTGAAAATTACTCAATAATTAGATATAATATATACAGTACGGTGAAAAAATCTTTACCCACAACATTTTATTTATTTTTCAGAATGGAATTGATGAATAGAAAAGTCAAATATATACACAGATAAGGTATGACAGAACTTATTTTTGATTTTCTCTTCCTTCGTGTCAAACAAATTTAAGCATCGTGCTTTTGAAGACTTCATCAAATTATTTAGAACGAACAACTCGATTTTTTACTATTTCTCGTACAGAAATCTTTCTAGTTCATTGAAATACTATGGTTTTCACTTCTCACCATAGCGTTTCAGGATCGATCAAAGGTTTTCCATTCGATTAACATTGAGACAATTCGTCAACCAATCAATCGTTTTCAGTGCATTCTGTATCGATACTGCTTCGTCATTCATTTTGGTGTTTAAAGCTATTATTTTTATGCGAAGGGCAAAGACTTTTGCACTTTACTGTATGTCAAGTTAAACCAACAGATGATTAATTCTTTTTTTTAATTAGTTTAAGAGACTGCAAGTGCAATTTACATTATTGCAGAATATTCAACTAATCTTTTCATGACCTTTATTCACTTTTTGTGTTCAAACGAGTACTTTCTTTCTTCCTTTTCTTAATAACTTTTAATAGATATAAATCTTCTACAAGGCATTTATAATCTTATCTTTTAATATTATCAATTTTATTATAAAAATTCTTTTCAAAGTATAAATTTCAAAATGAACTTTTTTTAAATAAAAGTATTTCAATAGAACAAAAGAAAAGATCTTTTTGTTTTGTTACTATTATCGAAAAGTAATGTTTTTATATAACATGTGAACAATATTATATCAAATTCAAAACAATTCTCGCTCACTTTATATGTATATATTAATACAAGGGGTCATTGTTCGACTTTGTTAACAATAATATAAATATTTTCTTACAGCTGCAATAGCTGATAGTAGATTGCTGCATGCATGATTAAGAAGATTACATGGACTGACAATGTATCAAGAATCTCTTCAGTTAAAATATAAAGATCATCGTCAGTCACATCTCGTACATTTAGAGCTATGATAAATTATTTCCAATTATATAGAAGAAACTTGATATGTCATTAATAAAGAATAATAACCTTAGTTAATCTTTATCAAAGATTATTTTTTCATAATAATGCTCTAAGATAATAAACATATGATTTATTGTTGAGAAAAATAATCTGTTTATATTTCTTCGTCATAAAATATGCCATAATTTTCACGTTATATTAATTTCAAAGGTAAGAATATTCCACTTTCTTGAATATCCATAAAGTTTAGATCGAAATTCCTTCGACAGTATAGATTAAGAAAAAACATTTAAACTAATGAATTTTTACCAAATAATCTTTTCTATTCGAGGTATTTCATTAGTTTATCTTTAATCCATGCTGACAAAAAAAAACAAATTTTTATTTATTACAGATGATCCTACTATTACGACTTAATAATGTTTTAAATAGAATGAAATTAATTTCTACTTATAAGGCTTTTGCAACGGACATTTGAATTATTTATTCAAGCATTTTAATTATTGCTTAGAAGCATTTACTCATTTTATTATTTGAATTTATATATATATACTAGATATTCTCTGTTTATTTGTCTATTAAATCATGCAAATATATAATTAAATTCAATACAAACTTCTATTATGATTAGTGACCAAACGAAAACCAATGGTCTTATACTTAGTTCAGCGTCTCTTTGCTTTAGTACATTTGCATGTTTGATCTCATGTATAGTTTTTCTTATTATTATATATCATCTTTATTATAATCATGTCAAACGTGAAGACAAAATAACTGTTGTTCTTTGTGGTCATATTTATTTAACAATTTTAATATATTCATCAACATTTTCATCAATGCATATTCGATCAATATTGGGTGATTTGTACAAGCAATCTTTTGATTCATCTTGGTGTATTTTTTCAGGACATTTAGCTATTGTATTGCTTGGCATGTTATACTTGAGTTTTTTAAATCAGGTAATTCGACATAAGAGAAATTAAAACATTCATATATTCTTTTTTTGAATAATTCTAGGCATTCTATCGTCTTATTCGAATTGTTTATTCTCAAAATAGATGGTTTCAGTCTTTAAAACTATATATTATTTTACCATTTTTAGAAATAATAATACTAACATGTATTCTTCTATGTATTCTTATACCTTTGAATGGTGTAACATACTTACCAAACGACTACTTCTGTTGTCCAACATTCACAAATATTCCTAGTATTCTTTCGACAGCAGTTGTTGTTTATATAGGTCCATTTTGTTGTTTATTATTTATTTATATACATATAACAAGATTTATTCATCAACAAGGAAATAAGCAAACACTGCTAATCAAACAACGACAATCTCGAGATTTACTTATTATACGACGCATTTTAATTATTGTTAATTTATTATTTATTCTTGCAATACCTGGAATGATTCTTATATTTATGTTTATAATAACAGGTGAAGAGCATCCATTACTTGCTCGAATTACATTTTTTCCAGTTAGCATATCTGAAGCAGGACTGAGTGTAGCATTACTTTTTACTATTCCACAACTAAAAAATATTGTTCTGAACTTACGAATAATAAGAATAGTGATGCCTGTCAATCAAGTCGTGCAAGGCGCAATACAAATGAACACGTTGGCTGGTACTCAATAATTGCATATTGTTTATAATTTCAATAGTGAAATCAATCTTAATTATTTTTATGTCAATATATAAGTGAAGTTGTTCGAAGTGAAATCAACGTGTTGTGATACTCATTTTTGTATCTGTTGTGTTATTTATATTTGTTTATTAATGTGTCGAAATAAACAAAGCTTCAGTATTAATTGAATTAAGTCGTAAAATGTATTGATTTTGATACAAAAAAGAAGAATAAATTGATAGCCAAGAATAATATCAATGAATGATGATTATGTTTAATGTTAAATGTATTCTTGAGTAAAAGTTTTCCTTTATGTTTAAGAATTTAACCTTCTGAGCTTTTGAATATTATTATCATAAATAGTCATTTAATAATTAAAATATTATCAATAAAAGATCCAGCAATGATAGTTACTCATTTTTTTAATTTATATTATAGAATTAGAAACTTAAAAATGAAGATGACTGAATGTGAATGTGAGTAGGAGAGATATGAAACGTCAACAGCCATACTCACCCTTATTAATAAAAGATCAGATCATATGGTCGAATCGTAATGACGATATTGAATTTTTTTTGAGAAAGTGATTTTTGTGTGGGTGCATGTGAAAGTGAGGGTGAGGATTTGAGTGTAGGTGAGAATGATGGCTTAGAGAGTACTCACACCTAAACCATCAGTCACTGTCTTTCTAAGTGTTTGGATTACTTTTTTCCAGTGTGTGCACTTTTTTATAACTAACTTTGAATCGTTTCTTTCGACTCATCTCTATGTTGAGGAGGACTTAAATTAAGACAATCGCACTCGACTTTTCAGATTTAGCGCATGGTTATTTAATAATTTATTTATTCTGGTTACAGATTCACTTCAGGGAAAATCGCACACACAGAAAAATACAATCATACACACAATGTTATTAAACTTAAAAACTGAAATATCGTTAATTTAGCCGTAGGTTTTTTCTTTCTTTTAATCACCGGTCTTACCGCACGCCAACTCTTTGTAATCTTCGCTAAAATTTAATTCACCTACGTCATCTGTTTTATGTGAGATATGAGCATGTCGTTGTTCTCTACAATCTCCGAGAAACGTTGATGCAAAATCTGGTCTGAAGAATAACATATCGCCACCTCCTGATGATGAAGCCTGTTGAATATCCAAAGCTAAGATTACCAATATAACAGCCGAAATACAAATGATTTTTGCCATGATGGAGTTGTAATGATTCGATAAGCAATATAAATGGTTGACTCAATTCAATAAGACTGTAATCATAATATCATAAAACAAGCGTTTCCATAACAAAACTGATACTGGATTTCTACCTTTTCTCTTGTCACTAAGTAAGCAAACAGTTGTCATTGTGTGAATATTATTTCTTATAACCTTATGAATGCCATTTTGTAGTGAATACAAAACTATCACTTTCTCAATCATCCATCCATTCAATATCGTGTACAAAAACTAGATTTTTCTTTGTATTAATTCTAGTTACTGCACTACGGTCTTCTTCTATTTATAAAATCGTTTCGTTTGTTTCTTCCATAAAACAAACGAAAATGAGTCATAACACATACGAAATACAAAGTGCAAGACTATTGTCACAGAAAACTGAAGAAATAAAACTATTAAAAACAAGAATATTTTATTAACGAGTGTCTTATAATGAATGAGCCTCTCGGTATTTTACATCTTTCTCCTGTATTTTTCGGTATAGATAAAAAACGTTTTTTCATGAAAAGACTCCTTGTCAAATTCTCTACAAAACGTAGATATTTTTATTATTTTGAAAATTTTTTATCATCCTGTGACATATGAAACAACCAATTGATCTAAGGAGCACAACTTTCAAAGACAATATTTTTCCGAACCTTTTGAGGGTGTGGGTGCAAGTAACATATACACCACACCCACCCTTGTAACTATTAATAATATTACCATTTCGGAAAAAGTAATTTCATATAAACGATTATAATTTGTTGCAGCTAATAATATTTCTTCATTTGGTCGTAAAACTAATCAATGAATAATTTCATTTGTTGTTAATCTTTCATTTTTAAATGATAAATCTGATAAAATATATTTTCAATTGGTCTTATTGGAGCAGATTTTCTTGGATTTCTTTGTAAGTTTTTATGCAATAAATTTTTTATTAGAGATGATGGTAAAATAAATTTTCTTAAATAAGTTAAATCAATATTATTTTCACTTCTTTCAAACATAAGAACATACCCATTTCGAAACAAAAAGAAGAATTTTGTTCTAAATATTTAAATCTTTTATTTATTTTACGCTGTTGACACAAATAGGCCACGTGAAAATGGTAATAAACAAATCATTTGATGTTGACTATTATGAAATGTTGAATTTGAATATTGATCAAGATTTGTTGTAGACAAAGATTTCTTATTTAATATCAATCTTGGTGATAATTTATGAGTTGATTGCATTTTTGATAAATTTTCTCCATTTATAAATGAATTATTATTTCATTCATCAATTTTTGTTCTATTCAATAATAATATTATACTCAATGAATTTATTAATCAATAAATAAATTATGAGGAAAAATTCTAGTCTGACTGAAGATTTTTTAAAGAAAATAAAATATATTTTAACTTACAGATTATATTTTTGTAAAATTTGTTCATATTTATTAATAATATAAATAAATCCATAATATAATCCTAATAAAATATGATTTTCATTTATCCAACAATGACAAGTTATATTTATTGATTGATTTTCTTGAAATTCTTCTTGTTTATATTGAGATAATCGACCATTATCTAAACGATATTGTTCAAATATATGATTACCAGTTAAAATTATTTGTAACGAATCATTTCAATTAAATGAAATCTTTTAGAAAGAAAAAACAATAAATTCCTTTATTAATTCAATTACTTGTAGATTAAGTGGATTATATGAATGATTAATATGAATAGATAATATTCCAATAGATTTATATTGTTGAATTGACCAACAAACTAAAGTGCAAGAAGATATTTTGAATTGTTTGAAAAAATAATTGAAATAACATGATTACAATTTTTTGGTTGTTTTAATAAAAGAATTTTTCTTTTATTGCATTTTTCAGATTATCTTTTATATTATAAATAATAATATGACATTTATTTAATTGATTTAATCCAATTGCTAAATATTCTTTATTTAAACTTATTGATAAACATTCTAATTTATTAAACTCATTTTCCTAATTAATTAAATATTGGCATTTATAATCAATATTATACAAAATTAGATTTCGATATGATGGATATATATATATATAACAATATTCATTTGAATATATTAAACTATTTGATAAGGATGTTTTTATATCAAATATATGTTTTATTGAAAATAAAAACATTCAAATATTCTTCGAAATCTTTAATTAACAAAATGTTCTCCATGATTTATTCAATATTCTATGTAGAAAAATCTCCAACATATAAATATCAATAGATTGTAACATCTAGCAACTTGGCTATTTAACATAGACACAGTTATATGGTTAACGAAGGCCATTGTAAATAATCGTTATGTATTTTGTTATATAAACATCAATATCAGATTTAACGGGTGGGTGTGAGTGGAAGTAATACATACGCTACAATCACACCCACACACAACATCGATCGATTTTGTAATTTACATAGCTATATGAAGATCTTATCCTATCTTATACAAAGTTCTCAAAAACTCTCTTCAAAAACTTCCAAAGATATGCGTACAGAAAGTTCATTTATGTACATGGCAAAGACTTTTGCACCTTACTATATGTCAAGTTCAATAAACAGATGATTAATTTTGTTCTTTATTAGCGTGAGAGAGTGCGAGTACAATTTATATTATTGCAGAATATTCAACTAATCTTTTCATGACCTTTGTTCACTTTTTGTATTCAAACGAGTGCATTCTTCGTTTCTTTCATAATTTTTAATAAATATAAAGCATTAATTTTCTACAAGGCATTTATAATCTTATCTTTGTTATTATGAATTTTATTATAAAAATTCTTTTCAAAGAATAAATTTCAAAATGAATATTTTGTTAATATAACATGCGTATAATATTATATCAAATTCAAAAAAAACTCTCTCTCCCTCTCTTTATGTATATATTAATACAAGGAATCGTTGTTACATTTTGTTAATAATAATATAAATATTTTTTTACAGCTGTAATAGTTGAGAATAAATCGTTGCATGAATGATTAAGAAGATTACATAGACTGACAATGCGTCAAGAATCTCTTCAGTTAAAATATAAAGATCATCGTCAGTCACATCTTGTACATTTAGAGGTATGATAATTTATTTATATTTTATTTCAAATCACATGTAAACAATTGATATGTCACTAATAAAGAATAATAACCTGTAGAAGTGTAAATTTGTATTAATTATAGAGGTAAGATCATTCTATTTTCTTGAGATATATGATTGACTAGAATAAAATATATTTAAATATCCATTAAGTTTTAGATTGAAATTCGGTCGACAGTATATATAAAAAAAACCATTTAAACTAATGAATTTTTACCAAATAATTGTTTCTATTTGAGGTATTTCGTTAGTTTATCTTTACTCTATATTGATAAAAAAAACTAATTTTTCTTAATGAGAGATAGTCCAACTATTGCGATTCTATAATGTTTTAAATAGAATGAAATTAGTTTCTACTTATGAGGCTTTTCCTATGGACATTTGAATTATCTATTCAAGCATTTTAATTATTGTTTAGAAATATTTCTTCATTTTATTAATTTAGTTTTTATATATATTAGATATTTCAAATATATAATTGAATTTAATACAAACTTCTATTATGATTAATGATCAAACTAAAACAAATGGTTTTATACTTAGTTCGGCATCTCTTGGCTTTAGTACATTTGCATGTTTGATCTCATCCATAGTTTTTCTTATTATTATATATCATCTCTGTTATAATCATGTTAAACGTGAAGATAAAACAACTGTTGTTCTTTGTGGTCATATTTATTTAACAATTTTAATATATTCAGCATTGTTAATATCAATGAGTGTTCGATCAATACTGGGTGATTTGTACAAGCAATCTTTTGATTCATCTTGGTGTATTTTTTCAGGATATTTAGCTGTTATATTGCTTGGTATGCTACACATGAATTTTCTAAATCAGGTAATTCGTAATAATAGAAATTAGAAAAAGAATTGTATATATTTGTTTTTTGAATAATTCTAGGCATTCTATCGTCTTATTCGAATTGCTTATTCTCAAAATAGACGATTTCAGTCTTTAAAATTATATATGATTTTGCCAATTATAGAAATAATAATACTAACATGTATTCTTCTATGTATTCTTATGCCTTTGAATGGTGTAACATATTTACCAAACGATCACTTTTGTCATCCAACATTCACAAATATTCCTGGTGTTCTCTCGACAGCATTTGTTATTTATGTATGTCCATTTTGTTGTTTATTATTTATTTATCTACATATAACAAGATTTATTCATCAGCAAGGAACTAAACAAACACTAGTAATCAAACAAAGACAAGCTCGAGATCTACTTATTATTCGACGTATTTTAATAATTGTTAATTTATTACTTATTATTGGAATACCTGCATTGGTTCTTATATTTATGTTTATTATAACAGGTGAAGAGCATCCATTACTTGCTCGAATCACATTTTTCCCAATTAGCGTCTCTCAAGCAGGATTGAGTGTAGCATTACTATTTACTATTACACAACTAAAAAATATTGTGCTGAACTTACGAAAAACAAGCACAGTGACACCTGTCACTCGAGCTGTTCAGGGCACAGTACAAGTGAACACGATTACTGGTACTCAATAATTCTTGATTGTTTAAAATTTCAATAGTGAAATCAATCTTAATTGTTTTTGCTTTTTTAATATTTCTTATTTTTATGTCAGTATGTAATTGAAGTTGTTGTTGTTTATCTATGAATATGAAATTACTATTGATTATTATTGTTGTAAGTATTGTCCGTAATGAAATTAATATGTTGCGATACCCACTTTTGTAATGTTTATTTTCGTTTAATAATTTGTAGAAGTAAATAAAATTCCAGCATTAATTAAACTAAGTTATGAAATGTGATGATTTTGATAGGAAAAAAAGAAGAATACATTTATAGGCTACTATAACATATTAACGAAAAGCACTGAATAATACTAGTGAATGATGATTATGCTTAATGTCAGATGTGTCCTCAAGTAAAGTTTTACTTTATATGATAGAATTATAAGCTCAAGAATGAGGATGACTGAATGTGGATGTGAGTAGGGGAGATATGAAGCATTAACAGCCATACTACCCTCACTAATAGAAAGATCAGATCATATGGTCGAATTTTAATAAAGATATTGAATTTTTTTTGGTAAAGTGATTTTTCTGTGGGTGTGTGTGTGTGGAAGTGAGAGTGAGGATTTGGGTGTAGGTGAGAATGATGGCTAAGAGAATACCCACACCCAAACCATCACTCGCTGTCTTTTTAAGTGTTCGGATTACTTTTTTCCAGTATGTGGAGTTTTTTATAACTAACTTTGAATCGTTTCTTTCGACTCATCTCTATGTTGAGGAGGACTTGAATTAAGACAATCACACTCGACTCTTCAGATTTAGCGCATAGTTATTTAATAATTTGTTTATTCTGGTTATAGATTCACTTAAGGGAAAATCGCACACACAGAAAAATACAATCATACACACAATGTTATTAAATGTAAAAACTGAAATATCGTTAATTTAACCGTAAGTTTTTCTTTTCTTTTCAATCGCCGGTCTTACCGCGCGCCAACTCTTTGTAATCTTCGCTAACATTTAATTCATCTACGTCATCTGTTTTATGTGAAATATGAGCATGTCGTTGTTCTCTACAATCTCCGAGAAACGTCGATGCAAAATCTGGTCTGAAGAAGAACATATCGCCTCCTCCTGATGATGAAGCCTGTTGAATATCCAAAGCTAAGATTACTAATATAACAGCCGAAATATAAATGATTTTTGCCATGATGGAGTTGTAATGACTCGATAAGCAATATAAATGGTTGACTCAATTCAATAAGACTGTGACCATAATATCATAAAACAAGTGTTTTTATAACAAAACTGACACTAGATTTCTACTTTTTCTCTTGTCACTAAGTAAGCAAATAGTTGTCATTGTGTAAATATTATTTCTTATAACCTTATGAATGTCATTTCGTAGTGAATACGAAACTATCACTTTCTCAACCATTCATTCATTCAATATTATGAACAAAAATCAGATTTTTCTTTGTATTAATTCCAGTCACTGCACTACCGTCTTCTTCTATTTATCAAATCGTTTCGTTTGTTTCTTCCATAAAACAAACGAAAATGAGTCACCTTGACGGTGTGGGTGTAAGTGACACATACACCACAATAACACCCACACACAGCACCGATCGATTTTCTAATTTAAATAGTTATATGTAGATCTTATCCTATCTTGCAGAAAGTTCTCAAAAACTCTCTTCGAAAAATTCCAGAGATATGCGTACAGAAAGTTCATTTATGCACAGGGCAAAGACTTTTGCGTCTTACCGTATGACAAGTTCAACAAACAGATTATTAGTTCATTTTTATTACTATAAGAGACTGCAAGTACAATTTATGTTATTATAAAATATTCAACAAATCTTTTCATGACCTTTATTCAGTTCTTGTATTCAAACGAGTACATTCTTTCTTATTTAATAATTTTTAATAAATGTAAGTCATGAATTTTCTACAAGGCATTTATAATCGTATCTTTGTTATTATGAATTTTCATTTTAAAAATTCTTTTCAAAGAATAAATTTCAAAATGAACTTTTTTAAATAAAAGTATTTCAATAGAACAAAAGAAAAGATCTTTTTTGTTCAGTTACTATTATAGAAAAGTAATGTTTTTTTAATATAACATGTATATAATATAATATCAAATAGATATCTCTCTCTCTCTTTATGTATATATTAGTACAAGGAATCGTTGTTACACTTTGTTAATAATAATATAAATATTTTCTTAAAGGTATAATTGCCGCTAGTAAAATGTTGCATGAATGATTAAGAAGATTACATAGACTGACAATGTATCAAGAATCTCTTCAGTTAAAATATAAAGATCATCGTCAGTCACATCTCGTACATTTAGAGATATGATAAGTTATTTATATTTTATTTCAAATCACATGTAAACAATAGATATGTCATTAATAAAGAATAATAACCGGTAAAAATCTGAATTTATATTAATTATAGAGGTAAGATCATTCTATTTTCTTGAGATATATGATTGACTAGAATAAAATATATTTAAATATCTATTAAGTTCAGATCGAAATTCTTTCAATGATATAAATTAAGAAAAAACATTGAAACTAATGAATTTTTACCAAATAATTGTTTCTATTCGAGGTATTTCACTATTTTATCTTTAATCTACGTTGAAAAAAAAACAAATTTTTATTTATGACAGATAATCCTACTATTGCGATTTAATAATGTTTTAGACAGAATTAAATTAGTTTCTACCTAGAAGGTTTTTCCTATGGACATTTAAATTGTTTATTCAAGCACTTTAATTATTGTTTAGAAAGATTTCTTCATTTTATTAATTCAATTTATATATATATACTAGATATTCTCTGTTTATTTGTCTATTAAATCATGCAAATATATAATTGAATTCAATACAAACTTCTATTATGATTAATGATCAAACTAAAATAAATGGCTTTATACTTAGTTCGGTTTCTCTTGGCTTCGATGCATTTGCATGTTTGATATCATGCATAGTTTTTATTATTATTATATATCATCTTTATTATAATCATGTCAAACGTGAAGATAAAATAACTGTTGTTCTTTGTGGTCAAATATATTTAGCAATTTTAATGTATTCATCAATGTTATCATCGATGCATATTCGATCAATACTGGGTGATTTGTATAACAAATCTTTTGATTCATCATTGTGTATTTTTTTTGGATATGTAGCTATTATAATGCTTGGTATGTTTTACATGACGTTTGTAAATCAGGTAATTCGAAATAATAGCTACTAGAAAATTTATATATTTGTTTTTTGAATAATCCTAGGCATTCTATCGTCTTATTCGAATTGCTTATTCTCAAAATAGACGATTTCAATCTGTAAAATTATATATAATTCTACCTATTATAGAATTAATAATAATAACACCTATTCTTCTATGTATTCTTATACCTTTGAATGGTATAACATATCTACCAAATGATCACTTTTGCAATACAACATTCACAAATATTCCTAGTATACTCTCGACAGCAGTTGTTGTTTATATAGGTCCATTTTGTTGTTTATTATTTATTTATCTACATATAACAAGATTTATTCACCAGCAAGGAAATAAGCAAACACTAGTAATCAAACAACGACAAGCTCGAGATTTACTTGTTATTCGACGTATTTTAATAATTGTTAATTTATTATTTATTCTTGCATTACCTGGAATGGTTCTTATATTTATGTTTATAATAACGGGTGAAGAACATCCATTACTTGCTCGAATTACATTTTTTACAGTTAGCATATCTGAAGCAGGACTGAGTGTAGCATTACTTTTTTCTATACCTCAACTAAAAAATATTGTTCTGAACTTACAAAAAATAAGCACAGTGGCACCTGTCAATCGAGCAGTGCAAGGCACAATACAAATGAAAACGATTACTGGTACTCAATAGTTCTATATTGTTTACAACTTTAATAGTGAAATCAATCTTAATTATTTTTATGTCATTATGTAAGTGAAGTTGTTCTTGTTTATTTATGAATATGAAATTACTATTGTTTATTATTGTTGTAAGTATTGTTCGCAGTGGAATCTGTATGTTGTAACAGTTAATTTTGTATTTGTTGTGTTATTTATTTTCGTTTAATAATGTGTAGAAATAAATAATGTTTTAGTATTAATTGAACTAAGTCATAAAATGTATTGATTTTGATACGAAAAAAAAGAAGAAATTGATAACCAAGAATAATATCAATGAATGATGATTATGTTTAATATCAAATGTGTCCTTGAGTAAAATTTTTCTTTTATATTAAAGAATTTAATCTCCTGAGCTTTTGAATATTATTATTATAAATAGTCATTTAATAAACTAAATATTATCAACAAAAAGATCCAGCAATGGTAATTACTCAATTTTTTAATTTATATGATAGAATTAGAAACTCAAGAATGAAGGTGACTGAATGTGTGTGTGAGTAGGAGAGATTTGAAACGCCAACAGCCATATTCACCCTCATTAATAAGAGAATTAGATCGTTTGCTCAAATCGTAATGAAGATGTTAAATTTCTTTAGTAAAGTGACTTTTGTGTCACATTATATACTCTGTACAAAATAAAAACAATTCTTCTAAGAATGGATGGGTGAAAAAGAAAAACAGAATACTGATTCATACCCACACCATCAAGATTAAAACATTGAACCTAAAATTTCATATTATATTTAAATTACGGCAGTAATAGAGAAAATTGGGTTCAGCTTATTATTATATTAATATCTAGCTATCAAAATATATCAAAATCAGGTCTATTTATGTATTCTCTCTATAATATAAAGAAACATGTCTGACGATGATGTTAGAGTAAAGCTTGTCGAAAAATCACAAAAGAAAATATATATAACATCATTCACACATAGTTGCATTCACATATATTCATATTTTATTAAAACAACGAACCGAAAATTTCATATTATATTATTTACTAATTGAGTTTCATTTTTTTGACTTAATAGTCTCATAATTTGTTTTAGATGTTGCTATTAATCACTGGTACGATTGATTAGAGCACATACGACTGAAAGATTATTTTCCAAATAACATAGTGACGAGTCCTAGATCTTGCTGGTAAAGTATTTAGATTCTTTATTGCGAAGATTTACGGCAACTAATACCCATCGTACTTTTGTGATGTATCTGAATTGATTTGCTTCTTCGAATGAAAAGTGTCGTTTATCGTCAAGAAACGGTGTCAGAGGAACGTCAAGACCGAGAGCTTGCATGACAAATATACAATCTCGAAATCCTCTGTCCACTACTATAATATCGTGCCAAGAAATAATTCTATAATCAGTGTTGAAGAAAAGTAAAATTTCTTTTTCCATCCAGTTGAATATGTTATTGGTGTTTCGAAATAAGATATCTCTCATAATTGATGCGTCGTTGTTCTTAAAATCGGAAAAGAAGGGACCTATATACGCAATTATATAGCCGTTCGTTGTGACTATCATCATTGGTTTCGATAAAGAACTTTTCTTATACAAACGAAATCTTTTTCTTTGAAATTGATTATTTCGTGATTTCTAAAATAATGTTTGAAAACCTTAAATTTATGGATACTTTAAATTATTTCTCACTTGACTATAAATGTAAGTACCATCGGTACCACGCATTAATTCTCGAGCAATTGTTGTTGTCTGATGATCGATAACATGTTGACGTGTGACATGTCAGAATCTCAAACTATATGGTACAAAACTTTACAAGATAGCTTCACAAGCACTATTAATAACGGGAGAAACTGTTTTCTTATCTACCGTAATTGAAACATACATGCTAAAAACTGATTCAATAAACCAAGACGAAGTTTACATTAAAAAACTACGATCGCCGTTCGTATCGATCGGCTAGATGTGTTGCGAATACTTGATGACGATACTCTTTCAACAAATTCATTAAAATTATCTACTGAGAGACTAGTTAAGAATTAATATTCATTTTGAAGGTGCGTGGGTGAGTTTAGTATGCGTATTATGTTCGTCGCATACCCACACGCACACCCTATCAATTTATATCATTTATTACATAAGTAATGCAAGTCTCACCATCGAACTAAATTATTACAGCGAAGGCAACTAGCGGAGAAAGCATTTTACTACCCAACGGTATAGAATCAAAAAGGAAAACGCCAGACTTCAGGACTCTACTTTTATATAGATTCCTTACCGTTATAAAAATATGATGTCAGTAAAAAAGTGCATGGACTTTTACAAAAATTACAGGAATAATGCAATAGCTGTTTGCTCGAACAAATTTTTTTTTATTTGTATCAATATCTTATGTATTTGCTTAAAAATCAATTGTACAATGTAAAAGAAAATATAAAAACCAATTACTTAATAGATAATAGGGTGTGGGATCATCTTTTCTTTATACAGACTCACAACCGCGATAACGGTAAATGAAAGGTCAAAGTCTGAGTAACGGAATAAATCTAGATTTCTTTTTATTTCCATAGTTAAATGTTATGATAATTCTTATTTTTTTTCCATCATCCTACACGTATGTCATATTTGAACATTCTGTATTATTATAGTATGTTTCACATTTAAATCCTATGAGATATACACCTTATGAAATTTGACTATCTAACGTAGAAAAAAATATTGTTTGCCTAATTTCTTTTTTTCTTACTCATACTTCTTGATGATATACTTCTTCAAATTATCGAGAAACTGTATACAACAATAACAGTTAATACAAAAAAATCATCTTTACATGTTTTACTATTGATGTTTTTAAGTTTTGATGCAGGTGGAATGTCTTTTTATATTTATATATTGAGTGGTGGAAGTGTATTTCAATCATTATATAAAAGATTTTCTTGTAAATAAAATAGGTAGAAAGAAAAAAGATGTAAAGATATAAAAGCACGTCCGCTATTTCTTCATTATTATTTACTTCAAAAGATATTTTTTCTTTTTATCAAAATTTGATTACGTCAACCAGACTGTTTTTAGTAGATCTCACTGAATTATAGATACTTATTGAATTCTTTAAAAGAATACGCACCATCAATCATTAGTGTAAAGAAATCGATAAGATATAGTACGTCATTTTCATTCTATGCACCATTTTGACCTACAATAATAAACATTTTCTTTTCCTTATAAGCTATAAGTATTAACTTTCCCGTTAATATAATGAAGATGTATCTGTCATATTTTATATTCTAATTCTATAGAGATTTAGGTAAAACTAGTATTTATATTATCTATAGATTAAAAAATTCAATTTCTTTTATTGTCGAATTAAGATTATAAAAGGTATTGCTAGAATGAAGTCATACATGCATTTTTTTTTGTTTACATTTATAAAGAATTTCATAGATAGGATAGCATCATTACCTCTCTACATCTGTTGAATATTAAGCAAAACATATATATTCACCTTTTCTTTTAAATTATCTTGCTACGTATATCATAAGAACATTGCATAGTTCTTTTTTCAACTATTAATTACAACCGGCATTAAGTTTCAATGCATTTTTTTAATAAGACATTTAATACATGAAAGAGTCTAAATATATATACTATAAGTTAATGATGCTCTTTCTCAGTTCATTATAGACCAGATTTTATTCATGTCATCATCATCATCATCATCATCAGAGATATATTTGACTATATTATTAAGTGATATTTCAACACAATTCAATCGTTATATTTCTATTATTATTTTACTCTTTGGTACAATTGGTAATTTTCTAAATTGCCTTGTTCTATCACAACCATCTCTTAAATCAAATCCATGTGCATTTTTTTTTCTTATTTCTTCAATTGCAAATATTATTTCAATTATTTCTGGTTTATCAACACGAATCTTAGCAGGATGGAATCTTGATGTTACTATGACAGATACTTTATCTTGTAAATTTCGTGCATATATTATGTTTGTTTCTCGAACAATTGCATTTTGGTTAATTGCATTAGCAACTGTTGATCGATGGTGTTCATCATGTAATCAATATCAACGTCGAAAAATGAGTTCATTACGAAATGCTCAAAAAGGAAGTATTATAATAATTATATTATGTAGTTTAATCTATTGTCAAATTTTTTATTGTTATGATGCCAATTTAATTGATACACCACTACAATGTTATGGTAAAACAGTAATATGTCGTTTCATAACTGACATAACATATGCATTCATTACAGTAATATGTCCAATATTAATTATGTCAATTTTTGGTTTAATGACAATATCAAATATTCGTCAAACATATTCAGTTATATTATCTAAAAAAGACGTAAATAATCGAAATTCTCGATGTCGAAGGACATTAACAATGACGTGTGCACAACGAGAACGTTGGAGAAGAATTGATCGTTATTTAAGACATGTACTTTTTCGACAAGTCATACTTCTTACTCTTCTAACACTTCCTCAAATGATCGAAAAACTCTATACAACAATAACAGTTAATACAAAAAAATCATCATTACATATTACTATTGATACATTTGTTTATAATATTGTTTTACTTTTAAGTTTTGCTGCAAGTGGAATGCCTTTTTATATTTATACATTGAGTGGTGGAAGTATATTTCGAACAACATTTTTAAAACTATTACAATCATTATATAAAAAACTGAAATGTCAATAGAATATACTATCGATTGTAAGAACTTGTTTTTCTTTTCATATATAAATTGCATTTAGCAAACTATCTGATATTATTTAAATGTAATTTGATAAATTTTTGATTGTAATATACATATTATGTATTATAAATCATACTTGAAAAGAATTTGTGTTAAAATAAAAGTAGACGGCATATGATCTTTTATAATTCATGTATAATAGACAGTTCTCAAAGTTAAATAGAACTATCGAACCTTTATTATTATCTTCAATGACGTAGGTAGTCTATTTGTTTGAGATAGCATGTTATATAGTATACAAAGAATTAAATAACCATATGATACGTCATTACGTTGAGAAAAATCTTTGACATTAACCACATCGAATTGCAAAGCTAATTAATTAATAAAATATGAAATTGTTAATATTATTTTAATCATCTTGAGTGTTTATTATCAAAATAAAATTGAACTCTTTCATGACGACATTTGTTCAAATCTGTTTATGCTTTTTACAGAATGTAATTAAGAATCGAAATTATAAATAGAATTTTGACATTAAACTAGGAAATGATTGTATAATAGAACTAAGAAGAGAAAAAGAATGCAATGTAGTATATTCCAAAATAATGTTGAATGACTATAATTACACGGAAGTTCTTACAAGACCTACGTAATATTGATATTTATATACCCAATATCTTATATATCGCAGAGTACAAATAAATAGAATAATGAAATTGTAATTACATGAACTATTTAGTATTTGAGTTAATCTATCAAATGATATCTTGTGGTATATTAATAAATATATAAATATGAGAATATGTTAATTAGTTTTTCATAATACGCATCTTAACTATTAGTCACATGTAGAATCACGTTGTATTACGAATAGGCAAAGCTTACATGAATATATAAGATAGAAGAATAAAAAGAAATGTCGTATATACAATATTCATGAATTTATACCCCTAAATATGATTAGAAGTTAATCTAATTCTCTACTATTGTACATGTTCCATTGTTTCGTAAATAATATAAAAAAAATCACTGAATGTCAACAAGTAAAAGTTAGATTTATCTCAAGAACAAAAAAACTGATAATTTAAACGTCTATTACTTTATGAATATATTCGAATAGACAATGCAATCATCATTTTTTAATGCAAAAGAATAAATAGAAAAATTAATCGCACTTTTAATACATATTTATGACTCATTCAAATGGTTAATATTGTTTTTTGTGAAAGTCCATTAATAATTATAAACAGAGGAAATGATTGCATAGTGCAAAAATATCTCATTGTTTCTACCGTCGATGTACAATCATACTTTCACAATGCGTCTTTAATATCTACAAATAATATTTGGTCTTTTGCGTTTTTTATTTTACCAAGATAAGGATTCGAAAGCATATTATTTTATACAGGTGATAAAACTGTTTGATTTAATCATTTTTTTATACAATGGCCGTATTTAATGATTATTATTGTTTGATAAATATAAACGTCATATATATTCTCTCTATTTCATTAGACGAAAGTATTCGATACATTTAGATTGATGACATATGACGATATTTCCTTTGTTTTCATATTTTTCTTCTCCCCCATACTTATTATCGATATCGAAATAAAACACATTTATAAATCGGTTGTATCGAAGATGCAACAGCAGCAGCAGCTAAAAGTTCAAGAGCAAAAAGACGACGTTAAAGATACAAAAAGAAGCAAATCTTTGCTTCCAAGTTTATCAATCGAATATGACAATATACTATCAAGAGCATCGCCGTATGTTCAATTGACAACAGAGGAAAACTTTTAATTGTTTACAATTTTAGGAGGCGCTTGTCAGCACGTTTTAATCGTCCAAGTTCGTTAACAGATTTAAGAACACGTGAAGCTTTACGGTAGATTCAATAAAAAATTTATATATAAATTCTTATTCGATTCATTATTTCTTTTAGTGTGGTACCATTGAATAACAATGATGATTTACTTGAAATACGTTCAAATAAACACTATGGTAAATCTGTCTCTGTCGATAGTGAAGAATCGTCTATAATAACTTTAAATATTAGTGGAAATCGTTTTCAAACATATCTTTCAACACTGGAATTATATCCTGATACTCTCTTAGGAGATAAAAAGAAAAGAAAACGTTTTTGGAATTCAAAAACTGAAGAATATTTTTTTGATCGAAATCGTTCTTGTTTCGAAGCCATTCTTTATTATTATCAATCGAATGGAAATGTTCGTCGACCAGAATCTGTTCCAATTGATACATTTATTGAAGAAGTCACTTTTTTTCAACTTGGTGAAGAGGTATCTAAAAAAATTCGTGAAACAGAAAATATTAAACCAGTAGAAGAGGTTTTAATGCCACACATGCTTTGGCGTCGATATCTTTGGTTTTATCTTGAATTTCCTCAACATTCACTTCCAGCACGTATAATTATGCTTACATCAACACTTTTTACTATTCTTTCTTGTGTAACATTAGCTGTTGAATCATTACCAGCATATAATAATCATTGGGATAATATATGTAAAGCACAAGCAAATATTTCATTGGATGCAACTTATACTCCACGCTGTGCAGCACTTTTTTATTCACCTTTTTTTATTGTTCAAACAGTATGTGTTGTTTTTTTTACTGCCGAATTTTTTTTACGAATTATCAGTACTCCATCTTATCGTCGATTTATTCTTTCATTTTTCAATTGGATTGATTTAGGTGCAATCATACCTTATTATGTCTTTTTAGTTATTCAATTAGCTGATAAAGATATTGGTTTAAATACAAATGCTGTTCTTTCTATTCGTTTACTAAGAGTTCTACGATTTTCTCGTATTTTTAAAATTTATTTGATATTTAAACGATTAAAATCATTACGTGTGTTAAGTGCAACAGTGAAAGAATCATTGATCGATTTTGTTATTATGGTTACTATTGTTGCTTTATTAGGATTTTTATTTGGAGCAGCAGTTTATTTTGCTGAACAAAATGACAACGGTGATGTATTTGATTCAATACCTAAATCAGTCTATTGGGGAATAATTACTATGACAGGGGTTGGGTATGTATTAATGTTTTGTTCTTATAAAAGTAATATATATATATTGATTTATTATAATTACTACAAATTTATAGATATGGAGATATGGTTCCAATTACATATCTTGGTCGTATTATAACATGTTTATGTGCTCTAAGTGGTCCTGCAACAATGGGTATGCTTATTTCTGTGTTTGTCGATCGTTATCAACGGGTTTATAATCGAAAAATGTATATATGGGAATCAGAAGCACCACCGACCGATGTTGATTTAATTCATGATCATGATCCTGATAATGATGATATAAAATCAGTTACATCTTCACAAAAAGCAGGTCGAAGACGACCCATTTCAGAAGTTATCTCTCATTCATTATCATCGTTCCATGATATGATCAAACATGACCATCATCATCATCACAATACATTATCAGAAGCATATGATTTACAATTGATTGTTTCATTTAATAATAAAAAGAATAATAAAGGTAATGATGCAACCGATCATCTCGTTACAATGATGAAGAAAAAATTAACTGAAGCTGTTTCAACTGTCGATATCGATGTTAATTTAAAATTAATCGATCATGACAGTAACGAACTTTGGAAAATATCATCCATTGATTCATCATTACCTTTTACTCCAACTATTATTGTATCCTCCGATGTAGATGATACATATTTCTCTCATATTTAAGCTTCTTAGATATTTTTTTTTATTGATTAATACCTTTTTTTATTTGTAATTTTTGTGTATTTAAACCAAATTTAACTATATTGGAAAAAAGCATACAATGTACAGAAATGTCAGTATTTATGTTTGATTTTATAAGGCTAAGTGATTTGAAAATAAAACACGTGAAGGCTATGTTGTTTATCAATAAGTTTTTCGTTGAAATGTTCTAGATTATTCTTAATCAAAAGAAAAGAAAAAAAATAAAGGAATTTTAGAATATGGTCGTGTGAAGTCTTATTTAAAGATATTTTTTAGCCAAAGTTGCAGTTAATCCTAATGCAAAACTAAAGAAAGATGCTGTTACACTACTTCCTACGTTTCGACATTCTCTAAAATGAAACTTAAAGATTTTTATAAGATTTTATTTTAAGAAATAGGTTTACCCCCATGTTGAACCTAATTCACAATTAGGAGTAAAACCAACACAATTATCTGTACAAATTTGAGTATCACATATTGTCGAGGATGTTTCAATAATACCATATCCAACGTAAGTGTTGTCAGGTGGACAATAACAGTTACATAAGTAATCAGCTTCTACAATGGTTAATAAACAGAGAAAAAGAGCTGTAATTTTTGTGATCATAGATAATATATTGTATTTGTGTGATTTGTACTGTGAACTAACTTGGTTTTATTTTTTACCTCTATTTATATCTTTGCAAAAGAAGACAATTTGTTTGTATTAAATTTATTTGTGTATTTTTCATCATAATCATAACAGAATCCCGTAAGTATTTTGACAAGCAGACATTCGCAATAGCCTATGCAAACAATGAATCCCTTCTATACATACATGTATGTCTGTTACTTCCTTCTTTAATTATTTTAGAATGAAATGTACATATCTCAGACTGGAAAAAATATTTTTCCAACAAATTCTGCAATGTGACGTCTGTAACAGATCCGTTTATTTTCGTTTTTCATTATTTTTGATCAATATAAAAATCTACCAGAGTATGAATACATTTACCGTTACTTCTTTCCAGGCGATATAGAGATAAACATGAGATTTATATTCATCTTTTATATTACTCTAATCGGAGTTTTGAACAATAGTCAAGCTGAATATGAATAAATTATCTTGAAAAATTGTATTTTTATTTTTGTGAATCTAGATCGTCTGATAATCGGTAGTGTAGTAGTAGCTGAACAAAATCTTTAAAGTCGAACGGATAGATTATCAAGTTATTGATATAAAAAATTTCTAAATGTAATAAACAATTAAAACAAAACTACAATATTGTGTACTTATGCAAGGAAAACTTTTATTTATTATTCTTCCTGATGTATATATGAGAAAAAACATTTTTTTTAATCAAACAACTAATATCATAAATCGAAATAAACTTAGCAAAAATTTATTAAAAAACTTTTTGTATAAAACAAATATTTTTTTATAGAGTTTGCTCATATCTTTAATATTTGATGTTTGTTATACTGTTTCAATAGTGTCTCTAAATATTTACAGTACGTATCATTATTGATTCTATGATATTTACGCGCGCATATATCATGTCACGGTCATTATTTCCTACCACAGGATGCATTAAAAAAATCTCAGAAATATTCTTACAGTAATTAATCATTCAGTGCATTCCTACGATTTTTTATTTCAAATATTTACTATTTATTTTCGTCTTTGGAGCGCTTAGATATGTTATAAATGCAGGAGAGCATTGCCAGAAAACAATGGTAGAACAAACGAATTTTTATCTGGTTACTTTACTCTACAAAAGATAGACTACCAGTTACACATGAATTTCAAGACTGTATATCACGAAAAAATCATTATATAGTTGATAAGAATATGCAATCAAATTTTTTTATAAATATTATATAGAATAATAAAAACTGATCAAAATTACTTAAATTTTTTCCTGAAAGTATAGAACATATTGACCTATGTGTTATTATTCATCAACAAAATGATCAAAACTGTATTGTATACTTTTTCTATTGGATAATATATGCAATTCTTATATTTTTTTTGTCATGCTTATAAATGATTCACATATAATTGACGTAGAGTTGTGCAAAGTATTCGAAGTACTCGTACTCGTACTCGAAAGGATTTTTTTTCGTACTCGAGGATATGATCTTGGAGTTCTTAATTGTGCCTCATAAAAAATTACTATGTGATTATGTGCTGCATGGATGACATGAATTCTTGACGTCTTTTTATTTCGACTGTTTAAATATAGATTTTTCCCCCTACCAACTATGGCAAAAACTCTAAGTCACCCTCGATACAATAGTACTCGTACTCGTACTCGTACCCGAGAAAGTTCGTACTCGCCCAGCTCTGATTTAACGTCAAATCGTTCCTTTTATAATTTTCTAAAGTAGTTTGCATTTATTTCTCTCTTATCGTACTTGTAGATATTGGTGTTTGAATAAGATAAATGCATATATTAACATGTTAATACCACGTGTGATCGATGAAACGTGCTTTTTTTTCTTTCTGTTCTCGTAAGGTAACGTTAATACTATAGTCGAAAATCATTTTATGAAGAATGCATGATTCATTGACTAGAAAGGAATAAAACAGCGATTTTACAAACGTCATACATCAACAGTATCTGTGTGTAATCATGTCGTCGACAGACACTCCTACGATGAAGTATGACACATATTGTTTATGTACATATAAATTCTAGAAAAGAAAAAGAAAAAAAATGGCTTTATATACTAATGTTGTGTTAGTATAAATTCAAATTATTTATAAAGAGTTGTTATCTTTGTACAACTGATAAGCAAGATGTTTTCACATTCTATAGCAGCTGGTCTTAAAAATACACTTCCAGAAGCCACATCAATAATTGGTGATCAAATACCAGATACTTATGATATTATTATTAGATTCCATTCGGCAGAAGTATAGTTTTGTTTGTTTTTTAATATGTGTAATATAATATCTTTTTTGATTTGCAGAAGTTACCTAGAACTGATTTAGTTGGATATACTGATCCTTATTTTGTGGCAAACATCGATCATCAAATTTCATTTACGTGAGTAATTTTTGATGAAATGTCAAAAAAAAATGAATATTTTTTTTAAATATCCATTTTAGATCCATTATTATACCTAATACTTCTGTACCAGTATGGGATGATGAAGAATGGATTGTTCGAAATATTCCTCGTAATGCAAAACTTACTGTTAAACTCTATGATAAAGATGATGAAAAACTTGCTGATGATTATATTGGTCGATTTGTAATTGACGATCTTATTAATTATACTCCTCCAACAAAAGGTCATAAGATTCTTGGAGCTTTTGCGAGAAATAATGGTCGTTTTCATTTATCTATTCAATCGATGAGATCATCAGAAGAAACTCAACAACTTCCACGTTATACATTCGATGGTCCTTGTCGATTTTCTCGTCATAATTCATTAGCTATTGGCCGACTGACAATGCTCAATGCTGACTGTGTTTATTCAACATGGAAAATATCCATGAGACGACTTTCTTTTTTCTTTCCACCTGCTCAACGTCAACATTGGAATACAAATTATAAACTAGCAAGAAGCATTTTTGGTAATTGTCCACTTGCATTAGTATCAAAAAGTACAATTAAAATTGGTCATAAAGTACTCTATGGAAGTACCATAAAACATAATGAAAATGGTCAATTGAATAATGCTGATGATCTTTGGAAATATATTTTTACAGATAATATTACACAAAGAATCAAACCATGTATTTATACATATGTTATTGATGATTATACATGGAGATTTAGTGAGACTGGTGTACGATTCTTTACTGATATGGCAAGTAAACATGCACTATTAGCAAATGGTTCTGAATACGTTCGATATGCAGGTGAATTTCATCTTCGACCTAAATATGGATGGGATAAATTCGATGATGAATGGGAATTAGTCATTGATAATGGATCTGGTACTTACGCACCAGATCCTAACCTATTAACAAATTTGAAAGAATTATTAGTATTCAATTTTCCAGGACTCAATATATTAACATATGATTTTGAAGATCCACTGCTAAAAGAAAGTAAAGAACAGTTGAAATTAGCAATAGAAAAATATAAGCATATTACACCAACGATCGATCGACTTGTTGGTCGTTATTCACCAGAGACTTTAAATGAATGCGATGATGAAACTTGTGCTCATTCTTAATAAATTTGATAAGCTATTTTTGTGTAATATTTCTGTAGATTATATTTACTGTTTTTGAATAATATAAATTCAAGTCATCATAATAGTTAGTCTATTACAAATAATTCTATATAAACTATTGTAAAACTAATCTTATTAATAAATAAGATAAGCATAATATGAAGAAAATGATTAATGTGGTTTGAAAAACAAAGACCATTCATGTCGAAAGTATGTCTTTGTAAACCAGGTTTTGTTTTGAGGTTTATTGACTATGTATATTTTTTTCTATTTTTAGAAAATAGATGAGACTCTGTCTGCATTTTTTTAAAAATATTCATTACTCTGCTGTTCAATATTTAAACGTAACTATAAATCCATACTGGATTTTTGTGGCAAATACAAAATAATAAACTAAGTAGTATTTAATTCTAAAGTCTCTTCCTCAAGCGTACTAATTGAACTCACAATATACAATAAAAACTGCCTCATCTAATCCACGAAGGATAATTACAAATAAGTTATGACGTCGATCGAATCATATTTACGTTTGTCTACTAATACACGCCCTTTTTTCTTCTTCTCTTTCTTTCTCTATTGTGTAATACATAATATATGCTCACATGTTTCAATGGTAAAACTAACGCTATTCTGTATAACAAAATGGACAGTACAAAAGAAGAAAAAAAATGATTTATAACCCATAACGTCATTATGATCAACACGCTATTATTACTCATAAATATATATATATCGAAAAAAATCCAATACACAAAACGAACTAATAATTCTAAATGTCTTCGCCCTCGATATCTGATGGTCTTAAAAGTAAAATTCCCGAAACAACATTATTGGTACATAGTCAACCAGTTGATGCATATGATGTTGTTATTCGATTTATATCAGCTGAGGTTATATTACAATAAATTTTCTTTCTAAATATGTTTTTGTTTTTTTCATAGAATGTGCCAAAAACTGATATAGTTGGACATTCTGATCCATATTTTATAGCAAAAATTGACGATAATATAACACACACATCAGCTGTTGTAGAAAATACTGCAACACCGAAATGGGATGATGAAGAATGGATTGTTCGAAATATTCCACTTGATGCAAAACTTTTTGTTAGTGTATATGACAAAGATGATGATCAACCTCTTGATGATTATATTGGTCAATTTGAAGTAATTAATTTAATTAACTATCATGCACCAGATGGTGGTCATGATATTCTCGGTTTAAGTGGACATAAACATGGTAGTTTTCATTTATCTATTCAATCAATGAGATCATCAGAAGAATCTCAACAACTTCCACGTTATACATTCGATGGTCCTTGTCGATATTTTCGTCATGATTCACTTTCCGTTGGTCGCTTGACAATGTTTCATGCTGATTGTATTTATTCAACATGGAAAATATCAATGAGACGACTTTCTTTCTTCTTTCCACCTTATCAACGTCAACATTGGAATACAAAATATAAGTTAGCAAGAGCGATTTTTGGTAAGTGTCCACTTTCAATAGCACCACGAACTACACTTAAAATAGCTCATAAAGCTCTTTATGGACGAACCGTAAAACATAGTGAGAATGGTCGATTAAATGACGCTAATGATCTTTGGAAATATGTTTTTACAGATAAATTTACTAAAAAAATCGAACCCTGTGTTTATACATATGTTATTGATGATCATGCATGGAGATTTAGTGAAGTTGGTTCACGACTTCTTACTGATATTGCAAGTAAACATGCACTATTAGCGAATGGTTGTGAATATGTTCGATATGCAGGTGAATTTCATCTTCGACCTAAACACGGATGGGATAAAATAGATGATGAATGGGAGTTAGTCATTGATAATGGATCTGGTACTTATGCACCAAATCCTGATCTATTGAAAAATTTGAAAGAATTATTAGTATTTAATTTTCCAGGACTAAATGTAGTGACATATGACCAAGAAGATCCAAAGCTCAAAGAAAGTAAAGATCAAATGAAGGTAGCAACTGAAGAAAATAAACATAAGACAATAGTAATTGATGAACTTGCTAAACTTTCTCCACTCTCGATTTCATCTAATATCCAATAATTGTTAGATGATTCAAAATCGATGTAATATTTTGTTTTGTATATAATAAATATTTTTTCTAAGAGAAATAAATATAGAATTTTAGTTTATATTTTTTTTGAAAATTTTCAATGATAATTTTGTATAATGATACTTAATTTTATTCATTAGAGATGTAAAATATGAGAAAAGGTCGATGAAATTTTACTTATGATATCAAGTGTATATCAATCGTAAGTACACCAATTGACCTGTTAAATGAACGTTGATTGGGCGTTTTCCGACCTCTATCGAATTTTTATAATGATATTATTGGACTCCAATTATTTGTGTATATTTTACTTTGTACTATCTAATCATAGTCATGGTCGTATTTTTCCAAGTGCCATTCAGATTATATCTGATTTAATGTTTATAATAAAATAAAATAAAATAAATAATAAAAAAGGTTTTCTTCATTGGTTTGAAACTGTTTTATATCATAAATACCTTAAAAATGGGTATCATATATTCATAGGAATGATTCACTAATTTTAGACTGTAAGATCTTATAAGTACATTGCTCTTTTCTATGATTGCGAAGAGTTTCGATCTATTTTTTTCTTTCTTTTCCTCATGGTTTCGTCGTTCTTCACCAGATAGTCCAATGAATTACAACGAACTCATATAAAAAAATGGAGGTCAATGTACCCACTGTATTTTTTGTTTCTCTCGTCCAAAGTCTATAAAACACGCCTCTTTCTTCTTCGCTTTTCATAATTGCCTAAACATTTTTTTTTATTTTTTCTTCTACTATATAGTCTCTTGCAATTACTATTATATTTTAGTTTATATTGTGCAGTAGATAGCTGGTGTTATATAAAAACTACTGCGTATAAGTAATGTAATCCTCTCTTTCTTATACTTTTATATATATATATATATGTATTGTTTGCAAACATTATGAATTATTTTTTTAGTATTTAATAATTCTAGAGAATTCTTTACTTTTAGTTATCGAGATATGAAAACATAAAGAGATTTATACTATACACGTGTTGTTTTCTCGCATGTCTCTCCAAATGTTCGAATAATTCTTTCTTTTTCTCCATGCGTACTTAATAACCCGCGTCAAGGTCTACACCCGAAATATTCTTTTTTTTTAATATAAATGTGTTAGTTTAGAAGGAAATATTTTTGTTTCTATTTTAGATTAAAATGAAAGCAGCCGTAGTTACAGCATTTAAGAAACCACTTGAAATTAAACAAGTTGACATTCCAAAACCTGGACCAAGTGATGTTTTAATAAAAAATATTGCCTGTGGTGTATGTCATACAGATTTACATGTTGCAAATGGAGGTAAAATATCAAAAGTTTTTCTTTCTTAATAATTATTTTTATTTTCTTTTTCTTGAATAGATTGGGATATTAAACCTGAATTACCACGTATTCCAGGTCATGAAGGTATTGGTGAAATTATTGAATTAGGTTCAATGGTTGGTGATCATTTAAAAAAAGGTGACATTGTTGGTGTACCTTGGTTACATTCTACATGTCTTCATTGTGAATATTGTTTAACTGGTCGAGAAACACTTTGTAAAGGACAATCAAATTCAGGTTATTCATGTGATGGTTGTTTTGCTGAATATGCTCTTATGGATGCTAATTTTGCTGTTAAATTACCAGAAGGTATGGATCCATATACATCAGCACCACTTTATTGTGCTGGTGTAACTGTTTATAAAGCATTGAAAGTTTCTCAAGTCCGTCCTGGTGAATGGGTCTCCATTGTTGGTGTTGGTGGTCTTGGTAAATAAATAATAATAATAAGATTTATGATGATTTGAACTTTTTATTCATAGGATCTGTTGCTGTAAGATATGCTGTAGCTATGGGAATGCGTGTTGTTACTGTTGTTGCTCCAAACGATAAAGTAAAGAGATTATAAGAAAAAAAAATTCAATTTGTTTTTTTCTTTATGATTAGACTGCTGTACAATTATCGAAAGATTGTGGAGCTGAAGAAGTTTTTGATGGACCAGCTGATCAACATGGTAAATGGATACAAGATAAAGTTGGTGGTGTTCATGGATCAGTTATTACTGTACCAATTGTATCTGCTTTTGAACAAGCTTTTCAATCAGTTCGACGTGGTGGTCGTGTTGTTGCTGTTGCTTTACCAAATGGTAAAATGGCTGTACCAATTGTTGATTGTGTTTTAGGTGGAATTGAATTAGTTGGTTCAATTGTTGGTACACGTAAAGATTTACAAGAAGCTTTAGAAATAGCTAAACATCATAAAATTGAATGTAAAGTACAAAAACGAAAATTAGAAGATATTAATGAAATATTCGATGATATGATCAATTACAGAATTAGTGGTCGTATTGTTATAGATTATTCAGCTAAATAAATTTCTTATTAGGAAATTATTTAGTTTTACTTAGTCAAACAATTTTTTAAGTAAATTGAAAATAAAGTAACGATCTCCTATTAGATTATATAGAATATAGACCTTTTTTTTCCTTGCTGTTTTTACGTAACTTTTGACTGTTCTTTTTTTTTTCTTATAATATTTTTTTTTGTTAACATCAATATTATTCTAGCTCAAATAAATTATTTTTAATAAGAATATAAAACTATATGATTCTATAAAATAAACAAAGAAAGTTCAAGATATTATATTTTGTCAATATCGACTCATTACAAATATCAACAATGGGACACAGGAAATAGACTATCCTGTTGTTTATTATAAAAATATATTTCTTTCAAGAATATATTGAATATAGAATGGAAATATACTGACAAATGAGGATGTAATTCTATGACATTATATATAATTATTCACAATATGATATTTTTCAAGGAAATGTCTAGCATAAAGTCCTATGCTGTAATAATTAAATAAAGATATAATTGTTTGGCTGTATATAATCGATGATAAGAAACATCATTGGAAAGAGAAAAAAATATACTAGACAAACAAAGACTACAATTAGCTATGGCAAAAAAAACTATATACGGAATACATGATAATTATTGTCTAGAAAATAAATATAAGAGAAAAGGAAGTCTTTTAGATACATAACAACGTTGTAAGATGTCTTTGTCATATAAATAACATCACGAAAAGTGACAACAATTGTATCATCTTACAATGGAAATATTTTGAATAAAAGGTAAAACTTATATATATATTATTTTTGATCAAATGATTTACTACGGCTATCAACATATTAGATAGTTAATTTTCCTATCTAAATATGTGTAGTTGTGAGGTTTACTTGTGTTGTTTTTTTACGTTTGGAACGATGTACTTATAAATAATAGTAAATTTAGTTCTTAGATGTATATGTATGACATGTGAAAAAGTAACTTAATCATAACTGTCATCACTGAATAAACATAAAAAATCGTTTATTGATATCATTAAGGATGGCTATAAGCTATGACCTTTTTTTATTCCAGACTTCATAGAAAATTCGAAATTTTTTAATATAATAATAACAATCCCTGAAATAGTTATAATTATAATTTTATACTGAATGAAGGGAAAAATGACGTTAAACACCTTCATTTTATTGAAAATAAACATGTGTATGTGTTCTGCATAGATTATTCTTATTATTTTTTTTTGTCATTGACATATTCAATGAAAGTGTGAATACAAGCAAGGTAAGAAAAAAAAAGTAACGAACATCATCTATCATTAAAGAAATTAATTTCTTTGATTTTACATTCATCAGCTATATTGTATTATATAAAATATTCGAAAGTACATCTTTAAACAATAATAATTCTATTAGGTAATGAAAAATAATCGATTTAATATTGATAATAGTATTTTAAAGAGTTAGTATTTTAATTAATATTCGATTTTATATTGTAAAAATTTTTTGTATAAATCTGATATATCAATAAACATATGTTCTCCATAGGTAATTGATTGCTATCTTCGTCAAAAACATGATTGATACTAATGTCTGTAGTTACCCTATCAGTATTTTTTTACGTTAAATAGTCATAGAGCATGTATAGAAATTGAAAAACGAAAGAGAAGAAAAGAAAAAAAAGTTGTTTGTGTCAATTCAAATCAAAGGAAAAAACAACATGTACAGGTAACGATCTATGTATTGACTTTTTAAGAAATAAAATCATTTTTATTTGTTAAATTTACAAGATGTTTTTCTTTTAAGAAGATTAATCATTCTTTAAAAATAATTAGAATTTTTTTTAAATTTGTATTTCATTTTAATTTCGTAATCTTATTTTTGAATTTAATTGGTTATAATGAACCTATAATAATTTTGACGTTTTTTTTTTTTTGCATTATGATGGTATCTCAGTCAATGTCATAATTTCGAGAAAATTAGATGAAGGAACATATTAAACGATAAGAAAAAAACCTAACATATGTGAAAAGTTAGGCTTCTTTGACGCCTAATTTTTAATACTTTTTTCTTGTTCTTTTGCAACAGATTATTTAAAATCATGGGTATATGTAATGGAAAACAAGAATCATCGAAACAAAATATTCTAAATAAAAATCAATATGAATATCTTTTATCTATGGATAATATGAAGAAAATACCAATTGTTACTCTTGAACAAGCTGTTATACCTCTTGTTCCATTTCTACCAACTATTCAAACATATGTTTGTGTAGTAAAAGAAAAATGTGAAAATCCAGCTGATGGATTAACATGTGATGAATCAGCATCAATAATGCTTTATTCAATGGGATGGCAACCATTAAACGAATGTCTTTATGTTGTTTTAAATACTACATTACGTTCAATAAATCAAGAAACTCTTCAACCATGGTTTTTATATTTAAAACTTTTATTTACTGCACTTTTACATCTTCCATCAAGTCAATTAGTTGTCTATCGTGAGAATAATTCTGATTTAAGTAAACAATATAAAATAAATGAAAATTTTACATGGTGGGATTTTTCATTATGCACAATATTAAATGAGGATTATTTACAATCGAATAAATATTTAAATAAAACCGAAATACAAACAATATTTATAATTGAATGTAATACAATCAAAGATATTCGTAAACATACTTATTTTCAATCGGATAATTCCGTATTAATTTTACCTGGTACACAATTTAAAGTTCTTGATTGTTTAGATCATAATGATAATAATTATTATTTAATAAAACTTCAAGAAATTCAATCATCATTTCTTTTACAAAAAGTACGTTAATATTATTTTTTTTTGTATAAAAAATAGCATTAAGTTTAATTATTAATTTAGCAAATTTCTAATATTAAACCAAGAAATTTTTTAAGAAGGTAATTTAAAAAAATGGTGTCTGTTTTTTTTTGTTCTAAATCGATGAATTATTTTAGATTTTGGTCATGTGGAAAAAAAGAATCAAAAAAATCTTTATCCAATGAAAAATCTCCAGTATTAAATAGTAATATTCGTAGTATACCACTCGATCAAATACTTGCTGAAAATAATCGTAGTTGGACTGTTAATTTAGATGAACAAAATATAACAGATCGAGATATGAAATTTATTGTTAAAAAAGTTATTAATAAAAAACGTTATAAACGTATTCGATTACGTGATAATAATATAACGTCACAAGGTGCATTAATTTTAGCTGATGGTTTACATAATAATACAACATTAGAATCATTAGATCTTCGAAATAATTATATTGAAGATTTAGGTGTACAATCATTAGCATTAGCAGTTATACATTCAAATCTTAAAACACTTAATCTGGAATCAAATGGTATTACATATGAAGGTGCACAATATTTAGCTGAAATGCTTAAATATAATCATACAATAACAGAATTATATTTATCAAAAAACCATTTAGGTGATAAAGGAGTGAAATTATTAGTAGATGCACTGAATAATAATGATACAAAACATCATGTGAATCATGATAATAAAGGGGTAAAAATTTAATTTTATATTTTACGTTCTAGTACTAATTATTTCTGATTATAATTTATCAAGTCATTTTTTGTCTAGTCAGTATATCAGAAAAAAATTGTAGGTGAGGGGAGGAGCTGGAGTCGTTTTTAAGCAGAAGTAAACCATTCGTAGATTAGGGGCTGAACTTGAGATGTGTAGAACCGGGATTGGGATCAAAAAGATCAAACTTTACCGGAACCGGGACCAAAAGAAAAGCTGTGCCGGGACCGGGGCCTAAAAAGGTTTGGTCCCGTACATCTCTAGGCTGAACCCTTTCCGATTACGCGCTTATCCTGATACATAAAATATATGTAATTCATTATAAAAATTTTCTGTTAGATATGTACGATCAATTCATCGGTTCTTCAACATCTATATCTTGGTCAAAATGATATAACAGATATTGGAATAGAATATATTGCTGAAATGCTAAGAATTAATCGTATGTTAACATGGCTATGGTTATCTGGTAATGAAATTGGAAATAATGGTGTTGAACTATTATCGAATACACTTGCGAATCATAATACAAATCTTGAATGGCTATTTCTTAATTCAAATAAGGCTATTGACGATGCAAGTATTGATGCTTTGATACGTATGCTTAGACGTAATCATTCTTTAAAAACAATCTATATAAATAATTGTAATTTATCGGATATGGCTAAGCAAAGACTTATTGAAATAACTAAAATGAAAAAAGACTTCGATTTAGAAGTTTAAATTTTTCTCTTGTATATATATATATTATTATTTTTATAATATGAAAAGAATAGATAAATTACAAACAGTTTCAAATTCCTGCTAATGAATACTATTCTATATATTTTGTATTCACCGGTTTTGTTAGAAATATATTGAAAATTATTTTACAGTAAATAAAACAAGTTCTTATTGTTTGTACACAATTAAATGTGTTGGAAAAGCTAAATGAGCATCCTTATTTGATATATGAAAAAGTTCTTGATCAATCATTTTCTTTGATAAATGAACAACGAACATATAATATTTTCCATCGGATGAACGACGAGCACCATAAATATGACTATTCAATGCATCACGAGTTAAACAAATTGAATCTAAACGTAATTCGAAGTGTAATAATAATAATGACAAAAAAACATAACGAACCTTGTATTGAATGTAAACCATAATGAATTACTGATTGAACAGATGAATATGAACATCCATGAAATACTAATAGTTCTTGTTCATCTTTTTTTCTAATATAGTGAACATATAATGGCCAATTTTCAATAGTATCAATCTTTTTCAAATCAATCGTTTAAAAAAACAAATTATTTCATATACAAAAAATCATACTCGTTCAATATGCCATGATGATCGAGGCATTGTTTCTTCAAACAGACGAACACATTCCATTGAAGTAAATAAAGAATGTGATATTTCTATTGTTCGTATCATTAATGGAGATCTAGACCAATTTGTTGGTGGAACAGTTTTCAAATCAACTACAACAAAAATTATTTTTTTTGAATATTAGAATTATGCAATTCTTCTATACTATTTAATTGTTTCATATGAAGTGTAGCAGGTTGTACATCTCCATTAACATGTGCCTTCAATGTTTTTAAATCAAAATCAAATGTATTTCTTCCATCATCTTGAATACGAAGCTAATGAGAAACAAAAAACAAAAATATTTTAAATATATATAAAAAAATTACATAAATACTCTAGAATCATTAGTTGATCGGGCTTCATCAATTTTCAATGAGACATAAGTATTTAATTTCATCTCTTCAGATTTATGTCCATTTGCATATAATATACTATATTTAGAAATCAATCTCGGTTTTCGAATATTTGCAAAACATTGTGAACATGATTCACGATCACCGCGAAGTATTAATTCACCTGTTGGAAAATTAATAAATGGTAGTACTTGATATTTAAGACATACATTAATCAGTAATTGAATCTTTACAATTAGAAAATAGAACAACAATAATAATAATAAATATTAAATAACAAAAAAGTAATACTTGATTAGTAAATACTGGTTGAACATGAAAAAGATCGTATGTTTTTTGTACAATTAATTTTTCTAATGATGTTACTAAGAATCTATGAGCTGAAACTATATCTATTCCACTTGATATAGTTGCTATATGTTTACCTAAATAAAAAATTCAAGTGGTTACCCATGTTTTCAAAATCACCAAGGTTTGGGCGATGAATCGGGATTTTAAAAAAAAATTGACGATTATATCACCATTAAGAAATGGTTATTTTGTCGGAATCATTATGAATCAAGACTTTTTGTCAAAAAAATCGGCAAAAAGTCCGTAATTTTGGCGATTTTATTGCGACAAATCTCACAATTAATCGGCTTCTATATCGCGATAAAATCGCCAATTTTTTCGGGAATTTTGGTGGCATGGATAGTGCAGTATAAAATGATGTTGAATTATCTAGTCTATTAAAATTTTGTCATTTATGATGACTATATTTTCATCCAAAAATAATCGTCACTTCGGACGATTTTATCGCGATAAGTCTCACAATTAATCGGGTACTAAATCGTTGATTTTCTCCCGATTTTGATGACATGGGGAGCTATTGATTTATATAATTAAACAAAGCAGAAGTCAGATTTGAATTCTTCGACTCCGATTTCCCTTATCAAAAAAAAATTCCTTTTATATCTTTATCTAATTCTTAGAAGTGCGGACACACAAGCAAGCAATTTATTCTTAATTTACATAATGCAATTCGACGAATATATTGACTTTTTGGAATAGGAACTAATGCAGATGATGCAATAGGAATTGTAGATGAACGTTCAGGCCCCATTGATTTGAGTTTTTGCTTACGAAGATCATTTAAATATGTTCGAAATATCTATTTATCAAACAAAAAAATATATATTCAAAGAATGTATTGATAAAATCAATTACTTGATATGAATTATTTTTATATTTATTTTCACCAGATGAATAAATAACAAATATTACATCAAGTGTACATCTATGTAAACGTTCACTTGCTGCACCAACCATTGCTTCACAAACTTTAGCTGTACTAAGACCTATTTCTCCAGTTCCTATCTACAATATCACACGAAAAAAATAAATAAAAAATTTTAAAATATTCTTACTAATGGAAAAGATATTGATTTCATATTTAATCGACATGCTTCATCAATACATCGTTTGACTAATCCTGATAATGACTAATAGGGAAAAACAAAATGAAAATTTTTGTTTATATTAATAGAGATTATATTATTTACTAGTTGAGCTTGCATTATATTCGCTGAACGAACTTCTAATTCCCATGAAATGAAAAAAATTTTTCTTGCTGATGTATTACCACCATCAAGAAGCATTGTGCTATCCCATTTAGCTCGTTCTTCATATTCTGATTTTACTTTTGAACCAGCTTGAGCAATAACACTACTCAATAATGTAGCAGATGTTGTTACACATACCATCATATCAACCTTATAGATTTTTTATTGACAAGATCTTATCAAAAAATTAATTTACCTGTGTATGGGCTATATTTCCATAGACGACATCGATTGATGAATGAGTTTCAGTTACATGAAATTTACCATCTAATGATAACTATTAATTTAAATAATATTTTTCGTAGCAAAATCAATGAAATTAGAATTTTTTCAACATTCTTAAGTTTATAATAAACTTAATCTTACTTACACTTGCTGGAGTTTTAAATAATGCATTCATTTGATCAGCAGTTGGCGGATATATTACTTCAATATCAACTAAAAGAGTTTATTGTTATTTAATTGTTAGTTAAAATCAGTGGACTTACAAGAAAATCGATATGTCTGAGAGATAATAGCACAATTGAGTTGAACTATATATAGATGATTCAAATTTACTATATAAATATCGTTAGAATTTTTTTACTTTCTTCAAAAAAACTTTCAGCAGTAGGTGTAAAAATAATCAATGCAACTTCATCTGTAGGAAGTTGAACAAGATGTGTATCTAATTTACTTGATAAAATTGAATCTAATCTTTTCTCTATTCGTTTTTCTTCATCGAAATTTCTAAATCGATAATAACCAGATGGAGATATTTGAAAATTATCATGTTCAACTAGATGACGTCGAGCAGGACCATGAAGAAAACATAACTAAAAAACGAAAAGAAAAAGTATCTTACCTCCGTTTAAATTAATAAACTCGTTACTTCATCATTTTTATGATATTTAGCAAAAATTGATTTTATTTGTGGTTCAAGTTTAAGTGAAGCATGTGAATTTATTGCAGGTGAATTTTTTTCTTTTTTATGTTGATAAGTATTAAAAGAAAATGGTGCAAACGATTTTGCTTCTCGAGAACTATCGACTCTTTCATCTTCTAAAAAAAATCAATATAAATCGAATTATTTTAACTTTTTCTTTGATTCAATTCTATATACATACTAATACTACTAGATGATAATAGATGTTCCTTTTTATGAGCTTTTGTATATCCATTTGTAAAATGACTTGTCAAAGCTGATCGATCGGCTTCATCAGAATTTACATGTAGACTCCGAGAAGTCATAGTAGATTTTGGTTGTGAAGAAAGATCTATTGATTTTGATCTCCATATTTCGAACAGGCTTGGTTTATCTGGTGGTAATGAACGTGGAGTAAGAGTATTTCTTTTATCAAGTGCTGGTAATAGATGATGATGATTCGATAATGAAAGTGGTATTCCTCTTGAAGATGATGGTTCAGGTGAATGTTTATATATTGCTAGTCCATTATGACCACGTCCAATAGCGATACTATTTGGCTGTTGAATTAAAATATAGAAATAGTTGATTATAAAAATGAATTTTACCTGTACATTTACATATTTATGATTATCGTGATCATTTTTTATAGCGAAAGATAAATGTAATTTTTTTGGTATTTTATCTGCCGAATGAAGTTTTTCTGCCATTGAAATTTGAAGCATATTGGATACTTTTTCGAATAGATGTTCATCTGTTAGTGATAATCGATATTTTTTTTCAAGAATTTTTTGATTATGTGCAGTAAAAAATGAATGAGAATGTAAACATTTTCCATATAATTCAAATTGTTTACATTTACTAGTCAATAAATATTCAGCACACATATGAAGATCATTACATCCAAGTAAACGGCATGAACCAGGATTTTGTTGATCTTTGGGGCATAATTGAAGCTAAAATAAAGTGTAATATTATTTTTTATTTTCAATAATTTTACTAAGCTTACAAATCTATGAAATGAAAGACTATCTTGATCAATCGATGAAGGATATTTTGCTGCCATAAATTAATTAGAAGATATACAATGAATATGTAGTTTATTGAGAAACATCATTTAGTTTGTAACACTTTCTCACCGGAAGAAATTGTTTTCATATTTAGACTTCTACCTGCACACCAAAACAGGAAATTAGTTTGGTTGAAATTGTAGCGAATATTTCCTGTTGATTGAAGGTTAAATTTTATTTACTCATACATGGACATTTGAAACGCAAATTAGAGTAGAAATTGTTTGAATTTCTTTTTACTTTGCTTCTATGAAAAATATAAAATCACGTATACAAATTTGCAATTATGGAATGAAAGATGTATGACAAAATTTGTATATCATATAAGAAAATATTATTTGAAAGAAATCAATAAAGATTCTTTATAAGATTGTTTGTAGGAAATTCATATTTTTCATTCTCATTCGTTAAATTTATAATGATAGATTCTATTGACAAGATTAATAAGACAATTAATGATTTAATAAAAAAATATATTATCTTTTTAATTTTAAAAACATGTTATTTTGACGTTAATAGCGTTTGACGGACAAATATGCGTGAAACTTCGTTAGAAAACATGCTTTTAGTACATTTGTAAAGTTAAAAAGGTAATATTTATTTTCGTATTATGCAAAAAACGCGAAATTTAGAGTGAGTATATTATGATGAATTGTCGTTATTCAATACGGTTTAGGTGGACAATTATTAACCCTTTCATTATTATACGATTTTCAAAACTGATCATAGAATTCTTTGTTATAAAGTGACTAAACTCAAGATTAAAATTTTTATGGTCAATTTCTCGTTGTAAATCGATATTAAAATATTATTATTTAAAATAAAAAAAACAACAACATTATATAAGTTTAATAGCATATGATTAACTTGTTTGAAATTGTTGTGTTTCTGTATGTTGTGGATTTAGTTTGAGTATTTTAAATTTTTTATCACATATAAAAATAATAATTATAAAAGGTATTTGAAGGCCAGCAAGAACAAAGAAATACAAGGTATAAGTCCATTTATTAAGATCAAGACACTAAAAATTCAATGAAAATATCACAGGAATAAAACGATAGTATTTTATTATACTTACACTGAAATCAAATTTACTTGTAGTCGTTGAATATATTGAAAAATATGCCTTGGCAAGAAATGATGAGAAACCTAATAAACAAAATTGCAAACTCATTAATAATGATTGAGCTGAACGTGGAGCCGCTAAATAAGCATATTCAAGACTAGCCACAGTAGCAAATATTTCAGCAAGACCCATGCATATATTTTGTGGTAATTGAACATATATACTCAAACTTGAATCACTTTTTCCTAGACAATTTACATATAATTATAAAAATAAAAAGAATTAATAAATACTATACCTAAAACACAACTTTGTTGTCGAAAAATTTCAATTGTACCCGCAATACACATAGCTAATGATGCTAAAATCATTCCCGTAATAAGTTTAACTCTTATAGAAACTCTTCGTTTTGGAGCATTCAAACATTTATAAACAAATATTGCTAACATTGAAATACCAACTATCATATAAATTTATATATTATATTAAAAAAAGAAACATTTATAAACTTACTAATAATTGTTACGGAATCACCAAGTGACATCCAACTAATAGGTATTTTATCATTATCATGTAAGATTGGTATATACATTTGTTGACCTTGTAATGGAAATGTTATTTGAATCTAAAAATAGAACATTTGTCAAAGAAAATTGTTTTCTTTTAAAGATTATTTTTTATACTTGAAAATAAATAATCCAATATGGAATAAGTAGAATGTAAACAATAAGAGCTGTTCGAAGTGCTTTAACATCATTAACAATTCGATCAGGATATTTACCATTATTAGCTGCTTTTGCATAATCAAGAAATGAAAGTGCTTGTTCAGCTGGGAACGATGAATCTTCTTGACTAATCGAATTTCGATTATTCCATATGCCACGATATCCATCTCTTCTTTGATTATTATTATCATTTTTATTAACACGATATTTAAACCATGTTTGATATGCATTTATAGTTATTGGGATACATTTCAATATGACTGAATCAAATGGAGGTACATGAATATAATATTGAAAACCACTAAGAAATAATCCAGCTGAAATAATAAGCGTAAATAATGCAATAAGATATCCATAAAAATAACTATTCGCTTTTGTCATATTATCTGAATCATTTTGAACTAAAGGAATAGATAATGTGGCTATAACAGCACCTATATTTACAGCTATGAAATATTTATAGAAATATCGTGATGTCACTTTTGATGCTTGAATTTGTTCGGCTCCAAATACAGCCATATTTGCTTGAACAGCTCCCACACCAATAGCTCTATATTTAAAGATAAATTAATATAAAGAAAAAAGTCAACTTTTTTAATATATATATATATAAAACTCACGTAAAAACAAGTGTTCCAATGATTTGAGGTCCACAATGTTCAGTAAATATTGAACTATGTGTAGGAGATGTACCTGTACATATAGTTTCATGTGTAGCAGCATTTGCAATAAAATTTATAAATACATAACCAATAATATACAGAATAAAACCTATGTTAACAAAAAAAATTATTTAACTAGTTTTTTTTCTATTTTAGTTTACCGATAAGAATTGTTTTAGATCTACGTAGTTTAGCATCACTTACAGCGGCAAATATTAATGTTGAAATATAACTTGTACCTATTATAAAATATAGGAGTTCAAAAAAGTCCTTCTACAATTAATAAAATTTACCGAAAAAAATAAAGGAAGCTGTTGCACTATTCGAAGGATCCCAATTTGGTTCGGTAGATTTCAGAGTAACAACAAGATTAATTGCTAATGAATAAAATGCTAAACGTTCAAAAATAGTGCTTGCAAGAATAATATACACTGCTAATCGTCTTTGGTTAGGTGAACGTTTATCAGATACAGCCGAAGGAATACCTGTGCTAGATATTAGCACTGTTGTTTCATCATTATTTGTAGTGTTCATTTGATAATATTTTAAATTAAATTCATGAAATAAATATCTACAGTATCTAAAACAATATCATCAATATTATATTAATTTAAAAGTGTAAAAAGAAAAAGAAAACAAGTCATGATGAATAATAATAAAATATCTATATAGATAAAGAAGTATTCCTACCTGCATGTAATATAGATAAGAAAGAAAAATACAGAATAAATTCTTACAGAACTAAACGAGATAATGTAAGTAAGACTACAAATGTAGAAATATTTTCTTATTCAATAGAAGAATACTTTTATATAACTAATTTCAATAGCTTTATAAATACGTCTAAACTAGTGAAAGAAATAGAATAAAACAAATTCGTAGCTTAAAAATATGACAAGTAGGAAATTTATATTTCTTTAAAGATTTATCTATTTCAGAGAAGTTCAGATCCTTGAAAAAACATAGTAGAAGTATCATACATCAAAGATCTCTTATTAATGAAAGTAGATTAGAATGTGGTACGTAATTATCGAAACTCATTGTACATACAGGAGAATTCAGATTATAGTTTCGTATGATAGCAGTTCTTTTTTGTTTGCCTTTAGTTTCGACTTCGAATCTTTATACTCATTTGACAAACTGAGTTTATAGGCATTTTTCATACAATGTTATAAATGCTTGATCGAAATCCTATATGATGTGGATAATAGTGTATCATTTTGATTGTCGTGATGAAAATTACCTATTCATATACATTTATTTTGAATTCAATTATATTCATGATAGTTCTATATTCATCAAAGTATAAATAAATATCCAATCAGATATTCTGCTGAGGGTGTGGGTTTGAATGATAAATGTGAAGAATACGCACACTCACTCCCACCCTCAAAATAATATATGAGTAGTAATATACTTTTTAAGCGTTGATGAACACCCTAACATCTCTGAAGAAAATTTTTTTATTCTGTAGTTTGCTATAAAGCGTATGCTGATATATTCTGAAGGGTTTATAAAAATGCACCGTATAGAATACTCTTTTTGGGATCCATGCAAAAGATATTATTATGCTACCTTTTTTTTTTTGCATTGATGGGCCTAGACGAAATAGACATAGCATTCCCTACGTTTTCTTTTATAAAAGAGACAAGATCTTAATAAACTAATCTCAAGATATTTCCATTTTATAATATTTCTAAAGTTGGTAAAATTTGACGATTTATTATTGTCATCTTTATGCAATAAGATTCTTTCAAACTGTGTCGCAGTCGACGTGAAATAGAATTTTTTTCTGTTCTGTCTTCTTGTATTTTAACGAAAAACAAATGCTGCTATGTGCACACAATTTTTCTTTACACTACAGTATGCTTGTTTGTTTGCTCATTTATGTGCACAACGTATCGAAAAAGGAGAAAAAAACATGAAAAATTTTCAATTCATTAATGTTGTTTTGTTGTTTGTTGCTCCAACTCATTGGATACGAACGCAAGCTTGTTTTGTAGCGCAATACAACATAAAACATTCACTGTTTTTGTTAGGGAAGAAACGAAAATAAATCGGCATCCATTAGTTATTTGTTCCTATGGTAACAATGACAAACGTTGTATTGTCATAAAAGTGTCTTGAGTAGGACCTTGAATTTCTATCCATAGAATCTGGGACGTCATCACAATATTGTCCAGAGAGTGTTGGGTGTGTGATAGACGAACAGCATAACCACAATCACATCAACATCTACACCCTTAATTATATTTCATGTCATTTCAAATACATATGGACATTTGAACAAAATTTGATTTATTTTTAAATACTATGACGTACCTTTCTATTTGAAGCCTGTTGTTTCTGCTAATAAGCATGTCTCGATCAAGAGAATCAACTAATTTTATAGAATAAGTCAACTAGTCTCAAATTTGAAAACAGTGTGCTAAGAATATAATGAAAAACAAAATATTACACATTTAAAATATGTGTTTTTTATTTGCCATGACATGATTCCGTCTGCTTCTCTAATGACATTCATATTTCCTTTAATGCATTAAACTCCTTGAAACGGATACCACACATATGATACCGAAATACACTAGTAAATGGCGATACATAACCATTCAATGAGAAAGTATTTCTTTTTTTTTTGTTCTTTTACGATTTTTTTAATAAAAGAACAACAAGTATGTGTGAACATAGTTTCTTACTATCACTTTTTTAGTAACTAAGTGGAAATCCTTAGTTGCGATCAGATGTATCATATTCTCAAATTTCTTATACACCATTGTATCGCTAAAATTCAATCAATCAAGACATTACTTCTATCTATTTGTATAAGAACATTTTGTCGTCGACTTTTTTCTTCTACCTTTCTTTCGTTGAATGCGTAGTTGCACCATCAAAAGAAAAATACGACACTCCTAAAGTAAATACGCATTTTAAGAGAAGAAATAAAAGCAACAACACACCACACACTTCAACAGTTTCTATCGAACACAAAGAAAATCATGACAAGTTTGGTTACATTACCGGTAGAGCTTGTCTACCGAATTTTGGACCATCAGAGTGATTTCACTCTGGTGTGTTCTATGCGTAATGTGTGTCAGCGACTCAACCAAATCGTTGACACTTACGATCGATATCAGGTAAGACTTTTTCTTATTATAACTGGCTAATATTTATCATTCTTCAAATTTTTTTTCACTCGTACGATCTGTAAGCCTGATCAAATAGTAGGCAATTAATCTATTGCGAGACAGGCCAATCTATCAGTCATGTTGTCCTCTACTCATAAGAGGGTTCAGTTTCAAGTTGGTACCCGAATAAATATTCGTTCGCAGGCTCCTTTAGTTTTTCTTTTACCCATTAACTGATACCGACAGAAAGCGTGATAGATGTGGGTGAGTGCACGTTTGACTATGGATGAAACTACATTCATTCTTGTGTAAGCATCCCAATGCTCAAAGAGCAGTACTACTATTCTACAGACGATGGTGAGAAAAGATCGAACCGAAGTAGAAGAAGAGGGACTGTAATATATGCCTCCTAAGATATCTTTTTCCGTTCTAAAACAACCGCTGGAGACAGACTAAGAACCACTCAGCGATTTCGTCTTATATGAATAACTAATCAGAAACTAAATCTTCTCCGTTGTCATGATCGCTAGACTTCTATTTATTTCATGATCCCACTTTATTCATTTTGCAAAATACACGCTTGCCTTCACAAGCAACTGCTACTATTGAACACAGGACGCTTTCATATCACTTAACCTATAGAAAACAAATAACTGAAATCGCCGCTTGATATGGATTCGGCGACGAAGGGAATCAGCGGTCAATAATGCCCAAAGATCTTAAGAAATTCACCTCACATCGATAAAACTTCTCCTGCAAGCGGATCACTTATTACCATGAAACGCTACATCATAGTACGCTCCATCAATTCACTACTCAAAATCCGTTCGACCACTGATTATCCATTCGACAGAATATCCTCCCTTTCTCCACTTAATCCTTTCAACATGACGGCAGCATTCCGAGACGACGATTAGAACCTCTGCGTACTCTTAACAAATACGTCATACGTTTAATCTTCAATCACTCACAACTTCTAGTTGCTCTTAATAAGCAGGAGATCCCATAAAACCTATATTATTTCAAATCCACTTCTACAGAATACCAACGCAGGACGCCAGGTAATAGCAGCATCATTCTAAAATCCCTCTCATATATATTTGCAAAATTGAATGTGGACACTCACCAAATTGTATCTCTCCTGCAACCAAATCGGAGACGCAGGAGCACAACATCTCGGCGATGTATCATGAAATAACACACTGATATTCATTCACTCATCACTTATTTCACGTAACTATTTGTACTATCTCATACAGACACTCACTACACTGGATCTATCGGGCAACAAAATCGGAGCTGAAGGAGCAAAACATCTTGGTGATACACTACGACATAACACAGTAATACTCATTTGGTCTTCATCTATTTCATATAACTATTTGTACTTTTTCATACAGACACTCACCACACTGACTCTCGCGTGGAACAAAATCGGAGATGAAGGAGCACAACATCTCGGTGATGCACTACGAAATAACACAGTAATATTTATTCACTCTTCATCTATTTCTGATAACTATTCGTACTTTCTCATATAGACACTCACTACACTGCATCTATGGAGCACCGAAATCGGAGATGAAGGAGCACAACATCTTGGTGATGCACTACGAAATAACACAGTAATACTGATTTGGTCTTCATCTATTTCACATAACTATTCGTACTTTCTTATACAGACACTCACCACACTGAATCTCTTTGAAAACCGAATCGGAGCTGAAGGAGCACACCATCTTGGTGATGCACTACGAAATAACACAGTAATATTCATTCACTCTTCATCTATTTCTGATAACTATTTGTACTTTATCATATAGACACTGACAACACTGGATCTCTATGACAACCGAATCGGAGATGAAGGAGCACAATATCTCGCTGATGCACTACGAATTAACACAGTAATATTCATGCACTCTTCATCTATTTCTGATAACTATTTGTACTTTCTCATACAGACACTCACCACACTGGATCTCTCTAGGAATGAAATCGGTGATAAAGGAGAACGACATCTTGGTAATGCACTACGACATAACACAGTAATATTCATGCACTCTTCATCTATTTTACATAACTATTTGTACTTTCTCATATAGACACTCACCACACTGAATCTCGCACGGAACGAAATCGGAGATGAAGGAGCCCAACATCTCGCTGATGCACTACGAATTAACACAGTAATATTCATGCACTCTTCACCTATTTCACATAACTGTTTCTACTTGCTCATACAGACACTTACCACACTGGATCTCAATAGGAACGGAATCGGAGATGAAGGAGCCCAACATCTTGCTGATGCACTACGAATTAACACAGTAATATTCGTTCACTCTTCACCTATTTCACATAACTATTTCTACTTTCTCACACAGACACTCACAACACTAGATCTGTGGGGCAACAGAATCGGAGATGAGGGAGCACAACATCTCGGTGATGCACTACGAAATAACACAGTAACATACATTGACTCTTCACCTATTTCACACAACTATTTGTACTTTATCATACAGACACTCACCACACTGGATCTCAATAGGAATGGAATCGGACATGAAGGAGCACAACATCTTGCTGATGCACTACGAATTAACAAAGTAATATTCCTTCACTCTATACCTACTTCACATCGCTATTTCTATTTTCTCATATAGACACTCACTACACTGAATCTCCACGACAACAAAATCGGTGATGAAGGAGCACAACATCTCGGTGATGCGCTGCGACATAATACAGTAATATTCATTCACTGTTCACATATTTCACAAAACTATTTGTACTTTCTCATATAGACACTCACCACACTGAATCTCCAGCTCAACGAAATCAGAGATGAAGGAGCACAACATCTCGGTGATGCCCTGCGAAATAACACAGTAATATTCATTCACTCTTCACCTATTTCACATAACTATTTGTACTTTCTCATATAGACACTCACCACAGTGGAGCTCGGACGTAATGAAATCGGAGATGAAGGAGCACAGCATCTCGCTGATGCACTACGAATTAACATGGTAGTATTCATTCACTCTATACCTACTTCACATCGCTATTTCTATTTTCTCATATAGACACTCATCACACTGGATCTCTCGTTCAACCGAATCGGAGACGAAGGAGCACGACATCTCGGTGATGCACTACGAAATAACACAGTAATATTTATTCACTCTTCATTTATTCTACAGAACTATTTGTACTTTCTCATACAGACACTCACCACACTGGATCTCCAGTACAGCGACATTGGAGATAAAGGAGCACAGCATCTCGCTGATGCCCTACGAATTAACACAGTAATATTCAGTCACTCTTCATTTTTTTCACATAACTATTTGTACTTTCTCATATAGACACTCACCACACTTGATCTCCATGAGAACAGAATCGAAGCTAAAGGAGCACAACATCTCGATAATGCTCTGCGAAAGAACAGGGTGGTACTTTAAGGGTGTGTGTTGCTATGAGTTAATCAGGAACATATTAGTCGATCTTGTAGCAAATGGACAAGTTTTATTTAGTAGTGTCTACGTTTGCATTTCATTAATCGAGTTGTATGCACAATATTCATATTTTATTTTAAAATGTTGTCGTAAAATAATTAATTAAATGTACTTTTCAAATCGGCGACGCGTTTTGTCTTATTTATTTAAATTTAAGCTCTCATCAAGGGTATGCATATGAAAGAAAAGCTTAAAGTATCAAACGCAGGAAACATTAAAATAAAACTAAAATGGAAGGCAGCAACTGGAGGTAAAAGAAGAACATCAGAAAAATAACAAAATTTCAGTAGCATAAGTAACGCCTTCGTTCTAATTTGTTTCTGATCAATTTCAATTGGACTCAAAGAAAGACGATGTTAGTTCTCTTGCTTATTTTTATATTTGAGAATATTCAGTAATGTGTTCAATAGAAGGCAGTTTGAGTAAAAGTCTGATGTTACTTTGGATACTATTATGAAAGATGGTTGGATCAAGTTAATTATTCTCGGAATACGTTGTTATTATTAGCATTAAATGGTTGATTTAGTTTAAATAACTGTGGATCATTATTATACTATATATTTGAGGTTGTTGAAGATATGAATAAGTGTGATAATGTTTCATAGGCTACGATATAGTAATTGGTGGCATATGTTTATTTTGTTTGTGGTTATATACTTTAGTTAAGTTGAACCACCAAAATCTAGACATAGCGAAGATAGTTAATCTATAACTAAAAGGCTTGTACAATATAGATAGATAGTATAATCTTGGTTCCACTAGGTTCTTTATTATTAATAAGAGATCTGTTCTGTAAGGTTTTTCAGTACTGATCAGATATTTGCTTGATTGTGTTCTTCGTTCTTGATATTGACTTAAAGAATGCGTAATTCATCAAGTAGATCTACCATAACATTACATTTGTTCAATTGGTGTAATGACGTATAGATGCGGTGGTAAGAGCGTCAACAAATGCAATCCAGATTCACGGTGTATAGTCAAATTTACAATCGGTATTGCTATTGTAATTGAATAGAATAGTTTTATGTAGTTTATTAGATCCAAAGTGGGGTACCTATTGAAAACAATAGCTTTCAATACCATTGGAACCGAGTTTTGCACTAGAAGTGAACCAAAATTTGCAAACAGCCAAATGCATTCGAAATAATACGTAGAAATATAAAGTTGGTTTTAACAATTGCAGTAATATTGAATTGTAAAAATTATTCTAATGACAAGTTGATTATTCACATTTGCTCATTTAGAATTTTGTTAGGACATTAGCGCTCATCTAGTGCAGTATAAGTTTAGTTTGTTTCATTAGGTTCTTCGTCTTTAATATTAACTTGAAGAGCTTATAAATAACTAGCGGGAGTACCCGATGTTGATTTACAGACTTCATTTTGATAAGTTCACATGCTAGAAAACAATAAATTCTGGTTATGTCTCATTCCAACTCCGCTTCAATTCCACGCCCTCCTCAAAAATTTGATTCGAACTCGACCCAGATAGCGTGTTCACTCCACTCCATATCCATCCTTATTTTGAGAACCCAACTTTGATGATGAAGTTGCCTATCTCTGGCATGTACATTCACTCACGCTAAAATTCGACAACTCAGTAGACATTGTGTGAGTGTGAATATCTTTCTTTTTACTCTTGTTCATTTTCATGGGCCACACACACACAGTGCGAAAAGATAATAGGAGACAAATACTCTAAAACTCATACCTATTTTTCCGAAATTTTCAAAAAAATAGTGACAGTCAAAGTTTATCAAAGCCAGATGAAATTTTGCTCAACCCCTCCCCCTCATCCACACTCTCTTTGGTGGAGCGAATCCCCTCATAAACTTCCCTTGGACCTAGGTGAGTACTATGGAAAGTTTGGTGATGCTAGCTATTAAAGGGACCAAACACAGAAAGAACAGACAAACTTTCCTCTTTGTATATATAGATTATAGCTTATGCAGTTTTTAAAAAAAATGCGTACTGTGAATATAAATTATTTTCAGAAATCTTTGTTTATATTTCATTACGTATATGCGATCGACTGCGAATAAAAGCAAAGAAAGTCTCTGTAATAGGGTTTTATTGTCTTTTGTTCGTTTATAAGTCAAGAACATGATGATTCATAAAAACCTTGATGTATTGATCAACGGTGATGAATGGTAACGAAAAGAGGAAAGGAAACCAAAAAAATCATATAATATTTTTAAATTCTCTCGACGCAAAATAAGCACTTCTATGATCTTTTTCATGAGTTTATTTTTGGTAAACGTTTTAACTAAAGGTTTACTTGTACCATTGATAAAGAACGTAAAACACAATTCGGCAACTATTATTATTTTTCATTTTATGATGGAAAAAATTTATTCAACATAAACTTTCGTGATAAACCTTGAAATAAATATTATAATTCTATATTGAATAAAGAGTAATGATGTTTATGCGTACTATTTATGGCCTTTATTTTTATAAAAAAACAAGTATCTGATCTTTTCGTTTTACGAAAAATTTATTATGTTTAGATAAAAACGCCATGTGTAGTTTTATATTGATGATCTTGATTAGTAAATAGATTTCGTATTTCAGAAAACCTATTACTTAGTTAAGTAATATGTTAAACAAAGATTCGAACGTATGCTTCGATCTCTCTTCGACATATAGGACAAATTCTAATTGTCTGACTGCATGAAACACATGCTACAAAATGACCACAAGGAATGCACGCTAGACGTTTCTCACCATTAGAACAGATGAGACAAAGATTCGTTGCTGTTGTATTCTTTGTAGAACTTGTCTCAGAAACTTTCGTATGCCGTTTTGTATTTGATAGTTCTATTGTAGGTGTTATTACAGGAGCCGATTGAGTTTCCATAGGTACGGTATTATCAACATTTGGAATTTGTGGTAATGGTAATAATTTAGATTGTTCTCTCTCGCGAATTAATTTTAATTTTGTACTAGGAATAATGATATTTTCTATGTTCCCTTTAATATGATCAATTTGTTTTTGTAGAATAGCACACGCTATGAATAGACTGGTGCTATCGATAAAGTCATATTCTAAATAAATATTTATAAGTTATGAACGAATACAAATGGTTATTTAGCTTTCTTACGCTTTAATTTAAGTTGATCTTCCCAACAACGTTTAATAACTGATAATATAAAGTTTTCATCAAGCACACTCTGCGAAATCGTTAGATCCAGTCGAGCAGCTACATAGCGTGATAATACATTAGGATCATTGATTGATACTAGATGCTGATTCGAAGTACAAGAGTTACTAGTTTGATTTGTTTCATTGTATTGAACAATTGTATTACGCTCTAAAATAAAAAGAATAATAGAAAGACAAATCGAATATTGGTTATCTACCTTGTTGAGTTTGATTATTACTTGACATATCATCTAAAACGAAGGTAGATGATGATTGTGGGTATATTAACATTGATTGAACATATACACATTGAGGTGATATAGTTTTATGTACTTCTAATGGATCATCATTACCAAGTATCCATTGTTGACAAATAAGATTACAATATAAACAAAGGACACGATCACCGACATTACAAGAAAAAAATCCAGCAGTTATCATTCGTTCAACAAGTGATTTTGTTTCAGAAGACCAATGAGAAAATGTATTGCGACGTATTTGTTTGAGTATTTTTACTTCCACAAGCCTACAACTATGCTTGTATTGATCAGAATAGGATTCAATTTTTTGACGTTTTGCTGGATTTACTGTAATATCCATTTCTACAGCACGACTTGGCAACTGAGATCGTACGAATTCGCATTGAGGACTACGTTCAGCATGAATGTCAGACGGTATCATAGTCGCAGTCCATTCCGATATTTCTAATGAACATGTATTACAACGAACTGTGTCACCTACACCTGTATACGTAAATCCAGCTGTAGCCATAACTTTAGTTGAGTGTATACCACGAGATATTAATTTTGTCCGCAGTTTTTGCACTCGATTATATACATCTTGTTTTACATTAATATGTTTTCCATTCGAATTTGTATGCGTTTGAAAACGGTTGGTTGTAGTTATTGTCGTTACCATATTAGTATTCTGAAATACGCTCTATAAATGTAATTTATCTAGAAGTATACTGAATTGATTCCTATATTGTTCGTTTTTCTTTAATAAAGAAATATATTGCTACAACTTTACAATCTGTCAGTAAATTTCGCAATCTTTTTCTATTTAAGGTGACACACATTCTCATCTTCTTTGAGTCATAAAGAATCGATTCTTCCTCTATTCATTTTTTAGCACATATTGGAGAAGTTTTTCTTGCTTCCTTCTGTTCTTCTCGTAATCTTAATCTCAGTTATTGCTCTTTAATTTGTTATTTATTAGATTTCTAATCTTCCATATCAATATACATGTACGTATTGATTGACGGAAGTAAATTATATATAGAAATTGATTTTATCTGCATGACTGAATTTGCACACTTATCAAAAAAATATATAATTTTCGAAACACTATATAGGAAGAAACCTTATATTAGTCACAAAACAGGAAGAGAACAGGAAAAATCTATCATTGATGACTAACATAAAAAAATAATGAGAATAGAAACAACAAATGTATAGGACAGAATCTATTTGAAAGTAAAGTTTAATTTTACAGTTAGAAGATCATCATGACGCTTGTTCGAAAACTAAGTAGAATGTAAGCGTTGCTGCTAACAGAGAAAAGTGATAAAGACAGATATCATATTTCAAAATACTTATCATATGTAAATAATAATGTTGCGCAATGAGTGGGTAAAGGTAAATCATCATATACAATCAATAACACCTATAATTTTAGAGGAAATCTCATCTCCATCTCCATCTGTCTTTTCTAAAGATGATCTGTAATCATATTACTAAAGTTGAAATATTTGATGTTAAATGACTAAAGACTATCGAACAAAATTCATTGTAAAATGATAAAGTGCTGGAAGTAAAATGATGTTAATTGTATTTATAGATCACTTCTATCGTTTTCAACAACGCATAGCAGTTGTTGCTCTCAAAATATGCCTTTTATGAAGCGTATAGACATGTAATATTGTATATGAAGTGAAGATATCATATCTATCATTCAGCCATGCCTATGCTCGTCTAAAATTACAGACCTAGATACTTTCATATATTCTCGAATAGATCTTATCATGCTGCTTTAGCGTCAAGGAAGAATTCATTTGTATAGCTGTCGTGCATAAAAGTCAAAACTATATCAAAGCCAGTCAACATAATACATATATAAATGAAATGTATTCGTATTTCAGAGAGATGACGCAATTACAATCAAACACTAAAAATATACAAAATGAAATCATATCCGTTACATAATTATTTATAGACATATCTATTGTGGCGTTCTTTTATATTACATACGTTCTGAATCATATTGCGTAACAACCATAAAAAACTATGAGTCATGGTTGCAAGTTGGAATTTCCAACATAGAAAGAACGAATGATGAAATGTTATAAAATCCAAATAGTCAAGAGCGTCATAAAAACACGTTGCGACGAAAGGGAGCGATAGTAACGCGTTATTTATTGTTTTAAATCATGGGTTTTGCCACGTTACTGCAATTTTTTTCTCAAGCTATGTTACGTTGGAAATTTTTCAGGGTGGGTGTAGGTATGGGTGAGGGTATGGATGTGGGTATTGATGAGTGTGGGTGTGGGTGTGAGTGGATATGGGTATGGGTAAAAGTATGGGTGTGGGTAAGTGTAGGTATGGGTGTGAGTATGAATACCAGTGGAAGTGTATCTATTCTGAAGTCATACTATCACCCGTATTCACACTCTTACATATTCGTCACAAACTAGTTTTTCAAGAACTCTCTTTACCAGAGCAAATACACCTTCGTCGTCGCATAACGGAACTACTAAGCAAACATCGAAGCCACAGAATACATGAAATCTGAAAGCAATCAGTTTTGTTTACTGTTTCTGTGACAACTACAGCATAAGAAAAGTATTTCTATGTGTGACGATTTTATGATAGACGAAGCATTAGTGCTAATGGTGTTGCACTTTATTATATTTCTGCTTATGAAGAATCGCATCAGTTTCATACGAAGCATACACTTATATACCCATCTATCAGAGGGAAGAAAGAGATAAAGACTGAAAGATAAAGACAATACATCAAATGAAAAAGCATCAGTAGAACAGGATAAATATTGTTACACTCTGATTATAACTAACGAGGGAACCACCCGAGGTGGTACATTCAGTTGTCATTCATTCATATCTCATTTAGTTAAGTATATTGAGATAGTAAAAACCCTAGAGGGGATTTTCCCCAATCGCATTCCTTCAGTAGTTATTCCCATTTTACTCAATTTTTGACCCATTATGAGGTATATACCTCAAAAAATAAACTTTGGAATTTCGAGCTGAAATTTTGTCCATATTTAGGTCCAATAGTTATTAGAACATCCTGAAAGTTTCAGCCAAAAACAATGTTCC